GACAGCTTTTGTGCTGTCCTGATGACAATTGCCAGAGACCATATAATCCACAAAGCCTGTGGTAAAGGCAGTTTTCCACATGCCCAAATTTTCATTACCAGTTTTGCTCAGTAATCTGAGGCTCTATGGTAGGGTTCGTGTGTGAGCCTCTAGGGTTCATTAGCTGTGAGTACTGGGATGGGAGAGCAGTCCCAGCTGCTGGCCCAGCTGCTGAGATGGCTGTATGAGCTAGCTGGTGCCTGAGGAGTTGCTGATGCTGTTTGGCCACTTGGCATTCTCCACTTGGTTAATATACACAGCCGAGCATGTGGTTTGTACTGCCCCTCATCCCTGTGATAACCTGTGTGACAGCTTACAGGAATGAGTAGTAGAGGGAACTGCAGGAAACACAGATGTACCCGAGAGAGAGAGCAGTAACCTTGGAAGTGCAGCTCCACACTGGCGGAAGAGCTGGCCATGCTGATGCTGCCCCCATTAGAGGCCATCGCCACACAGCAAGCTTGCAAAGGCTTTCACAGAAACCAGGAGGTGGTGCTACTTCTGTGTGGTGGGTGTCCCGGAGGGAGTGAGACAGCAGACGTTTGTAGAGTACAGCAGCTCGGAGCAGGAGCTTTATTTGTTTAATTTTTTTAGATACAGTTTCATTATATGGCCCTGGCTGTTCTGGAACTCAACAGAGATTCACCTGCCTCTGACTCGTGAGTGCTGGGTTAGACTAGGTCCTGCGATCAAGAGTGTGTACTACCCCACACCAGCCCAAGCTGGGGTGTAGCTCAGTCCTAGAGGGTTTGCTTCACACACCCTGGGGTCCATTCCCTGAATGTACACATCCTGCAAGAGTAAACTGAATGGACATAGAAACATAAGTGAAAGAAGCCTGGTATATGGAGGTGCACACTTGTAATCTCAGCCTTTAGGGGGGTTGAGGCTTGAGTTCAAAGCCAGCCGGGGCTGCTGTGTGAGACGATGCCTCAGAAAAGAAAAAGAGCTGGAGGAGTGGTGAATCCCAGCCTTGGGGGAGGAGAGGGGAGGGAGGGGAGGCAAGAGGATCACTCCTTCAAAACCCTCCACAGCTACATATAGCAAGTTCAAGACCAACTTTGCAAGTTACATAAAACCTGGTTTCAACCAAAAAGAAAACACCAAGATCCAGATGGTTGTTACTTCATTGGGAGAGAGCAGATGGGAAGATGAGAAAGGGTTGGGGACATGCCTCTGTGGTAGAGCCTTGCCTACCACATAACAGATGAGGGCCCAGGTTCCGGCTCCAGAAGCATAATGTTAAGCTTAGACGTGGTACGTCCACTGGCGTTAGTATCTCCTGTATCTCTCAGCGTATTTGGTGTATTTCTGAAGTGAACTCTCATTGTGGTAAGCACAGCTGCAGCTGTGTGTTTGTAGAAATAGCCTGTAAACCAGACTGATAATGCTTAGGAGCCTAGACAACAGGTGGTGCTTGGTGTCTCCTAGTTCTTAGGAGGCTGTGAGTTCGAGACTAGCCTTGTCTACAGAGTTACAGGAAGGTAGGGAAGCTACACAGAGACCCTGTCTCAAAAAAAAAAAGTGACAACAGATCTTTCCATTTGGCAGAGTAGGGTGAAGTCATGGGAACCATTGGCAGATTGTCTTGGTTAAAACTAGTGACCTGAGAACCAGAGAAACCAGTTTCTTTTTGACAACATTCCCAGACAGCAGTCTGTAATTTTACCGCAGCCAATGTTGTAAATGCCTGTCAAATTAGGATTTGCTCCCTTCAGCTTCTTCCTGGTGTTCATGGGCAGAGGGTGTAGGAGGTATAAAAGGGAACAGGGGCTTGCTCTGTTCTCCTGGCTGGCCTGGAACTCAGTTTGAGTAGACCAAGCTAGGCTCCAATCTGAGGTGATCCTTGCCCCTGCCTCCTGAGTCGTGGAGTTAGGAATGCATGACCGCCACATCTGCCCCGCCTCCCTGGTTTTCTTACTGGATTTGGAAGCGATAGACTAATTTTGTGTTCTAGGTTGGATATACCTGTAACCTCAGCATTTGGGAAGCATAGGCAACTTGTAAAGACTGTTCCAAAAAAAAAAAGCGTGCCTTGGTTTGTAGGACTTGAGGCCACAGTGTAGTTCATGGGTAGAGTGCTTGTCTAGGCCCTGGCTTTTCCTCAGCACTGTAGAGAAGGAACGGACTACTGGAACAGGAGACACACCTTTCATGATCACCTGCAGATAACTCAGACCAGGCGTTTTTCTTTCTTTTTTTTTCGAGACAGAATCTCTAGCTGGTCTGGCACTGGCTATGTAGACCAGGCTGGCCTTAAACTCAAGAGATCTGCCTGCCTCTGCCTTCATGTACTGGGACTTAAGGTGTGCGCCACAACACTCAACTAAACCATTTTTCAGTCTTTTTGTTTAATAGTGAAAGCCCTTATTAAGAAATAACTTGCTGAAATCATGTCCAACCACATCCTTTTCAGCCTTGGCTAGCACTTCTGGCATGTTACTGCAGTGACCCCGTAACTGAGAGCAAAGGCTTCTGATGGAGGGGGTTTGCCTTTGTGAGCTCTCAGATTGTGATAAAGGGGTGCTGGTTTCCAAGTAGCTCCATTTTGTTTTCCCACTGCCTATTGATGTCAGTTGAGCTTCACCTCCTCTGCTCTGAGGAACCCTTGTCCTGGCACCTGGGCTCTGAGCAGATCAGAGGGAGTTTAGGTCTCCTCTCCAAGCTTCAGTGCCCTTGTTTGGAAGCAAAGGGGTTTATTGTTGATTCTGTTTCATTGTGAAGATTACGGTTATTGTTATTTCTATTTAGCGTGTATTTGTGCGCATGTGCCTTCTCAAAAGCATGCCATAGCACTTGAGGTCAGAGGAGGACACCTTTTGCAAGTGGATTCTTCCACCATGTAGGTACCAGGATTGAACTAAGCTGTCCAGCTTGGCTGCAAGTGCTGAATCATCCTGCCAATGTTCCGGGTTTTTTTGGGTTTTGTTGTTGTTTCCAGACAGTGTCCTGTGGCCATACTTGGATTCGTTGTGTTGCCGAGTGAGATAAGCTTTAAATTCCTGCTCTTCCTGCCTCTACGTCCCACAAGCTGGGATTGTCGGTGTGCACCAGCTCACCGGTGTGTACCTAAAACTACAGAAAGCAGCAACAATCACAGCTGGTGACTACCAGGACTCTGGGCTCAGCGTGACTTCTGTAGCACTGGTCCCTCCTGTTTTCCATGTGGGGTCCTGACCGGGTCCTGTGGGCTCTTCATTTTGTCTTCTTGTTGGCCCTGCTGCCTCCTCCACCTGGCAGTGTGTGGGCTGAGCCAAATCGAAACCAGAAGATGTGTTCGGTGTGTTTACTCTGGGCATTGTTGATCCATCCTGTGTTTTGTGACCTTTGGCATATTGTCAGAAGCACCTGTTGCAGGTGTGTATACCGGCTGGTTCTTTTTCTTTTCTTCCTGAGATCGCCTTGAGCCCTGTACTTATTCGGCAAGTGTGTTACCACTGAGTGAGGTGCCACTGGTTTTTCTTGTATTTTTTTTTTTTTTATTATGTACACAGAAGAGGGTGCCTGATCTCATTACAGATGATTGTGAGCCAACATGTGGGTGCTGGGATTTGAACTCAGGACCTCTGGAAGAGCAGTCAGTGCTCTTAACCTCTGAGCCATCTCTCCAGCCCTTTTCTTGTATTTTTTTAAATTTTGAGATGGGATCTTACTAATTGGCCTTGAACTTTCCATCCCTCTTGGAAAGCAGCTCCAAGTAGCTAGGATGACAGACCTGTGCCATGAGCCTTGCTAGGGAGATGGTTCAAGTCACAAGCAAGAGGACCAGCACCCAAATGAAAGCCAGGTGTAGTTGCAAGCATCTTTAACTCAGTGCTGGAGGAAGGCTGGGAGTGATATGTGCCACTGCATCCAGCCTTTTGGGGAGGTTCCAGGGGTTGAACTCAGGTCATCAGACTTGTGCTAGTCCTTTTACCCACTGAGCCATCTCGCTGGCCCTGGAATGTTCCTTTTCTGCTAGTTAGTTGAGATTTACTGGCATGTATGGGAGTTGCTGAAGGGGAAGGTTTTGTTTTGCACAGTAGCAATGTGTTGTGTCTATAGGTTGGTGTTTTGAGAACATCTGGTTCCATGTGCCCATCATCCTAACAGTTTGAGAGATGCAGTGGAAGTGCAAATCCAAGATTATCTCCTATGGTGGAATAACCTTGATGTGAGCAAGCTGGAGAGGAACAAGGGCAGCCTGTGAGCATGTACACGGCTCTGGGACAGCTGAGCTTGAGAGCTGTCGTTTGGGTGTTCATCAGATTGGCCTCTGAGCTGGGATGGGGAGGACAGTGTGCCACTGCGGAGGAAGACATGGGGCTTGTGATCAGGTTCTGGTGGCTTTCCATTCTTGAGGCCCTCCAAGAATAGAAACTCCTTTAGTTCCAGCGATTCCCTTGCCTTATCCACGCCCCCCTGACCAGCCTCTAACAGTGACTGCAAATGCGTCTGACTGGAATACCGTGGTTGGTATTTTCCTCTTTCATGGGAGTGGCAAATCTTAGGACTTCCTGGAACCCAGACCCACGAGCTGTGTTGCCCTTTAGAGATGAGAAACTAGAGTTGGGAAGCTTGTGTCTGAGGTTCTTGGATTTGAGTGTTTGTATACTGATTGTCTTTGTGGGAGGGTATTCAGGGCCTGGAATCTAGGGCCTGGCATGTGTCTAGCAAGTGCTCTGCTGAGCCATGCCCTCACCTGTGCATCTCTGTTAAGGAAGAAGTCAGGGACAGAAGCCACCTGCAGCTGCATCGGGTGCTTTGGACTTGGTTGCCAGATGATGTGTTTCTTTCCATATAAGGAAGACAGCATCAACACAGGCTTTGGGACCAGGTCAAGAGGAACTGACATGCCCAGAATACTTTGCTTCTCCTTTGGAGTATCTTGAAGACCCCGGACTTTCTCCTATAGAATATGTGCACGTCCTTTGACCCTAGGATTGCCCGCATCAACCCACATGGGTTCTGTTTTGTTTCAGAGTCTTGTGGCGTTTCAAAGGTAGTGGGGAAATGCCGGGCTTCCATCCCCAGGTGGTGGTACAATGTCACTGATGAATCCTGCCAGCCATTTGTGTATGGAGGCTGTGAAGGCAATGGCAATAACTACCAGAGCAAAGAGGAGTGTCTTGAGAAGTGTGCTGGTGTCACTGGTAAGGCTCGAGTGTGGAGAATTTGGTGCTTAGAGTTCATTGATGGGATGTGGGTATTTTCTGTCTGCTGGATCTTCACTCAGTTCAGAACCTGGGATGGTGTGGGATTCAAAAGCAAAAGCAGGCCCAGTGTGCTGGTTCCATGGCCATACTGGTTTCACAGCCGGCTCTCTTATTTCTTACTGGAAAGAGTCAAACTACCACCAGGCCTCCTGATTCACTCCTACAGGCCCTTGCTCTCTGGGCATTAGGGTTATTTTTTACCTCTGTCTCCTCACTTGCTGGCTACTCTCTCTTGGCTTTGAGCTATGCATCCAGAAATCAGATAGGCATCTTAAGGTTGTGTGAAGGCGATCAGCAGTGGCCCTGGGCAGTGAGTGACCTCACGTCTGCTGCAGGGGGTGAAGTGCTCAAATCTGAGCATGAGGAAGGACAGTTTGCTTTTCTGGGGAATTTGGAGAGATGGGGATAGGAACTGATTTTAGTGTTTTGACACATGGTTTTACTGTGTCATCCAAGCAAGTCTTAAAGTCTTGATCTTGCTGCTTCTGCCTCTCAAGTGCTTAACTTATAGGTACCCGCCACCATGCCTAGCTAGGGTGTGATTTTTAGATGGTGCAGGCCAGCCCTTCACCTTTTGAGTGGTAACTGGTTCATCAGGAAACTGAGTGAAGAAAATGTCATTTCCGTGCGTTTCCCTCTCCTGTGTGAGGGAAGAGTTGGGAAATGTTGTCTGCTGCCCTTTGATGTGCTGTGACCATCTTAGAAGAGAGTTGAAGTGACCATGAACAGGAGACAGCGGGCATAAGGCAGTCACTGTCTCCCTGGACATGGTCCAGAACCTGACCCCAGCTGCAAGGGCCCGGACAGACAGCTCTTGGTGGGCATTTGGTTGTGTGTCTCTTGGCACTCTCATGGGAAGGAATCTGTAAGGCAAGCTGAAAACTGCCAGAGCCTGGACTCCTTTGCCAGTTCTATTGAGGGTGTATGCCAGTTTATTAACTTGTAATGGGAACTAGAACCTCCCAGGGGACCAGACTGTCCCTGTGCCTGCATTCAGTCTACATAGGCAAGCCTTTAGCAAATTGCCAGAAAGTGGCCTGATGAGGGTACAGGTAGGCAGATTGAGGTGAGCTGGTTTATGAAGTGACTGCTGAATGACATCAGGCCAGGCCAGCCTCAGACATATCCACCTACTCTCTTAATTTGTGGTGGAGACAAAATTACATCAGATGCCAGGCACAGTGTTACCCAGCTCCAAAATTGAGAGGCTGAGGCAGGTGGATTCCAGGAGTTAAGAGACCAGCCTGGGCAATATAGCAAGATCATCTGTTAAAAAAAAGAAACACCCACATAAAAAAAAACTTTTTGGGGCTGGAGAGATGGCTCTGTGGTTAAGAGTACTGGCTACTCTTCCACAGGACCCAGGTTCAATTCCCAGCACCCACATGGCAGCTTACAACTGTCTATAACTGCAGTTCCAGAGAATCCAACACCCTCACAGATAAATGTGCACATAAAATAAATAAAGTATATTTTTAAAAAATCTTTTTGAAGTTTATTTGTTTCTTCACTCTCCGCCCCCACCCCACCCTCCTCTACTGGGACAAGGTCTATGTGTTGCCTGGGCTGGCTGCTTTGACCACCTTGCCTCAGTCTGCTAAGTAGTTGGCTCTACAGGTATGTCACCATGCTTAGTATATCATCTCAACCATTCTGAGTGTGTGGTTCAGCAATATTAAAAACGTTGCACTGTTTTGTGCCTTTAAAATTCTAGATAAATAAAATACAAACTGGATGTGATGGTTCATGCCTAATCCTCCTATAGGAGGATTTCTACAAGTCTGAGGCCAGTTGGACTATACGGTTCTAGGCCAGTCTGAGGGACAGGGTGATACTCTGTATAAAAAGTCAAAATAAGGAGCTGGAAAGATGTCTTAGCAGTTAAGAGCATTTACTGTTCTTACAGAGGACCAGGGTTCATTTCCCAGCACCCATATCAGGCAGCTCACAACTACCTTAAACCCCAGTTCCTAAATCCAGTACCCTTTTTTGGTTCCTTAGGCATCTGTAGGCAGGTGGTACATATAAGCTCATGTTCATTCAGGCATGCACACATTTTTTTTTTAAAATAAATAAATGTTTAGAAGTAAAGCACCCCTCCTCCCCAAATGTAGAGGCAGCTTCCCTGAGAAAGGCACACCCACTTTGTCTTATCCTTTCCCTAAGCATCTCCATTGATATTTCTTTGCTTAAGGTCTGTGTTCAAATGGGGACAGTGAGATGGCCTAGTGGGTAAAGGCCAACATGGTGGGAGGTTGTCATCTGACCTTCACATGTACCCCATGACAGACACATGCATACATACGCACAAACTAATTTTTAAAGTATCACTAAATTTAAAGATCTATATTTAAAATGTCATGACTCAGCCGGGTGGTGGTGGCAGTGGCGGCAGCACACGCCTTTAATCCCAGCACTCAGGAGGCAGAGGCAGGAGGATCTCTGTGAGTTCGAGGCCAGCCTGGTCTACAGAGTGAAATCCAGGACAGGCACCAAAACTACACAGAGAAACCCTGTCTCAAAAAACCAAACAAGCTGGGCGGTGGTGGCGCACGCCTTTAATCCCAGCACTCGGGAGGCAGAGCCAGGCGGATCTCTGTGAGTTCGAGGCCAGCCTGGGCTACCAAGTGAGTCCCAGGAAAGGCGCAAAGCTACACAGAGAAACCCTGTCTCGAAAAACCAAAAAAAAAAAAAACAAAAACAAAATGTCGTAACTCCAACTCTACTTCCAGAGAGAGAGAGAGAGGGGAGAGATGGGCTCAACAGATTATGTGGCCCTGGGAGCCCTGACTATGTAAAGTCTTTTTGCTCCAGCTTGTGCTGATTCCTCAGGCAGTCCCGGTTCCTCTAAGTATCAAAAGCTTATGGCCCTCAGGCACCCCAGGAGCTCCACAGAAGGGAGAAGTGAGGGTTGGTTGTGGCACACAGGGCCCACTTGACAGTGCCTTTCTTCTCTGGTTTTGTCCCCTCACAGAGAACACCATTGATGGTGTGGCCAGGGACAGGAATGGGGCCGACTCTTCCGTCCTGAGTGGTAAGTTCCCAAAGAGCCAGGTGGGATGAAGGCCGCCCGGATGGTGACTGTGAAGGGACACTTGTAATTGGGAATCGAAAGGGGCTTCCCCCTCTGCCCCCAGTGTACCAGCATTGTACACTTCTTGGGCCAGCAACACGAGGCTGAGGACTTGTGCTTGAAGACACCAGACCTATGGCGCAGGCCCTGGCTTCCCTCCAGGTGGCTGTCTGCTGTGCTGGGTCCTCTGCTCCCCACTGGGGTTGCTGTCTCCCTCCCTCTGCTAGAAGTCCTCTGTCACCCCACCCCTCTGTCCTCTGCTGCCCTTCATCTAGAGCTTTGTGTTAGTTTGCTTTGTAGTGCTGGCAGTAGCCGCCCTGCTCCTCTTTTATGCTTAAGGGACTCTGCGGCAGGAGCCTGGGTGAGTGGTCCCTTCACAGAGGGTGGACTATATACCCCTGATGGGGACAGTTTTCCTCCCAGTGGACAGTCCCTTGCACCACAGTCTGGGCCCTGGCCTCCATCTTGGACACCAGAGTACGTGTGGGAGTTTGGTGGCTGCTGGGGCTCGCCCGGCTTACAGAGCGCCCGGGTTAGGCTAGAGAACTTCCCAGTTGTCCCAGGCCCTTGTTGCTATGTAGGACCCTGCATGGTCTTATTTCCAGCCTGTCTCTGAAGGGAATTTCCCCAGTAAATATAAAAGTTTCTGGGAATGTCAGGAAGTGAACAAAGCTATATTCTTGATCACCTCAGAAACATGGGTGCAATTAGTTTCCATAGTAACCACTGAAGGAGCAGGAGTTCCACCTACCTCCAGTGTTCATTCAGAGTGTCCTGTGCTCCAGAGAGGACATCAGACCAAGGGATATGTCTACCCTTTCAATGCTCCCTCCGTGGGCCCTTTACAGTCAGCCCTGCTAGGCCAATCATACTGTGTCCCTCCTAACCAGAATTTTATGTTGCAGTTCCCAGAAAGCAGGACTCTGAGGACCTCTCTGGTGAGATCTTCAGCTATGAAGGTATAACTTAACAAATTGTATCCTTATGTGGTTGGCTGGCATTGAGACTCACTAGGAGGAACTTGTCAAGCAGGGTCTCCAAACCTTGCCAGGTGCTTGTACTTTAGAGCTGGGATTGGAATGGCAGGCAGCAGTGAGTATCCAAGCTGTCAGGAGTCAATGTGCAGCAGAGTGAAGGCAGTGGACTGTGTGCTTCTAGAATTTACCTACACCTTGACTGTCACAGCTCTGTGGCTGTGGACAGGAGCTGCACCCTGTATATGACTCCCATGTGTAAAGTGAAGGTCCCAGAACCGAGGAGAGGATGCCCTGGTACATGTAAGGTGCCTGGGACTGGGGGGGCTACAGACAACATGGTCATGGTTGTCTACAAGGTGCCAAAAATGAATCCAGCCCCCCACCCTCAGCCCCATCCCTGGTGGTATGCAACTGAAATTCCATCACTTAGGGTAGGGGGGTTGAGACAGTAGGATTCCACGAGTTCAAAAATCACTCTGGACCACACAATTTCATAACAACACACACATCCTCTCCCCCCCCCCCACACACACACGAGAGAGAGAGAGAGAGAGAGAGAGAGAGAGAGAGAGAGAGAGAGAGAGAGAGAATGTACAGCTGGCGTCAAGGGTCCAGACTGGCCGTGTCTGACCCCCAGGCCTTTCAGCATGCAGCTGGCACTCTCCATCTGCTGAGCAGTCCATTTAGGCATTCTGGGCTCGGCTCTGCTCCTCTTGGCCCTGCTGATTGGTCCTCCTGAGGCTCTCTTGCTCTTGCTTCTAGAATACTGTGTCCCAAAGGCTGTCACTGGGCCTTGCCGCGCAGCCTTCCCTCGCTGGTACTATGATGCTGAGAAGAATTCCTGTGACAGCTTCATCTATGGCGGGTGCCGGGGCAACAAGAACAGCTACCTCTCCCAGGAGGCGTGCATGCAACGGTGCTCTGGTAAGTCAGCGGACCCCATCCCTGGACCACAGGGGCTCTTGAGAGGTCCTTTCCCTGTCCCTCTCCCTAAAATGAGGGCTTTGGAAATGTCTATCAGACCCTTGAATGACAAGGTCCCAGAGCCTCCAGAGCTCCTGGGAAGAGCCCTGGTGTTCAGGAGGCAGAGGGGACCCATTTTGGTCCCAGGCCTGAGGATAGAGAGCACAGTGGACTGACCTCAGCATTTTGTGTTCTCTTTAGGCAAACAGGTGTATCCTCTTCTGACCCTTGGAACAAAAGGTAAGTGGCCTCTTAGCCTTCTCTACCTGCCTCCCACCTCCCTGCCTCTGGCCTTCCTGGACTAACTGGGCTCTGCCCAGCTGTGTTTTCTGCCCTGCTTATAATACTCCTCACTGGAACGTCCTTGTGGCAGAGTGCTGTGTCTCTGTGAAAGTGGCTAGGCAGCTTGGAACTTGTGGACATTGTCCTACAGTAAACACTACACAAGTCGGGGCCGAGCCTGAACCCCAGGGAGGGAGGGTCTGGCAGACAGACAAGCCTGAGGGGAACTCCAGGTTTGGAGGGGACTTAACTGCCATGGGGCGTGAAGAGGTGGTCAGGGGTATCAGGTCACAGTCTGGCCTGGTGAGGAGACCCTGTACCCTCCTACTTCTGCTTCTGAGCCTTTGTGTGCACAGTGGGTGCTTGCCTGTGGACCTGCCATACTGGTTTGGCCTCTTGCTCTTTTCCCTGTTAAGGGGCCAAGACCTGGCCAACAAGTCCGCCTTGTTCCAGAAGTAGAATCCACTTCTCAGGGCCGGGGCTGGAAAGGTGCCCAGGTCTTGAGGGCTGGTTGTGGGTGGAGTTAGGCAGGGGATTGCCCCAAAGGGGTAGATAGGTCCTATAGTCAGTGCAGGAGGGGAGCCAGGTAAATGTCACAGGAAGTCACATGCCTGAGATGGAGCCCCACCTGGAAAGGAAGCATCTTAACTGACCAGTGAGGCAGCCGCAGTTATTCACCTGCAATTAGGAATCCTGGGGTCCCTCCCAGCACTGCTGAGTACACCCTCACCAGCCAGACTTCATTGCTCAGGCAGCCACCGGCAGGGGCTCTTCTGTTGCCATTCAGGGGTTCCAGGCTAGACTCAGCTACATAGGAAGTTTAAAGTCATCTTGGGCCACTTGAGACCTTGTCTCAGATAACCAAAATAGGGCTGGTGCGATGACTCAGCAGGCAAGGGTCCTTTCCTCCAAATCTGAGAGTGCAGGTTCCATCCCCAGCACCCACATCTGTGACACGAGGTAAGGGAGTCCAGTGTTCTCTTTCGGCTTCCTCAGTGGTGCCCAGACGTACATGCAGGCAAAACACACATAAGCAAAATTAAAAAATACAAGAGCCATTCTATATATGTGGCATTGCAGGGGACCACCCTGGCAGGCAGTCTCCAGATTCCCGGGTTAAGGAGGGCATCTGGTCCCCTTCCGAGTTCCTTGGGCTGCTGGCCCTCTCTGTCCATGTCCCTCCTTACCCTGCCTGTCCCTCTTATTCCTAGCGGTAATCCTGGTGGGGCTGTTCGTAATGGCCCTGATCCTCCTCCTGGGAGCCTCTGTGGTCTGCCTGATCCGTGTGGCACGCAGGAAGCAGGAGCGTGCTCTCCGCACCGTCTGGAGCACTGGGGATGACAAGGAGCAGCTGGTGAAGAACACCTATGTCTTGTAAAGGCCCTGATGCTGGGAGAAGCAGGGAGGGAGAACACATGCTTCTTAAATTAGAGCAACTGCTTGTATCTGTGAGATCATTAGGGAAGTTTGGTCTTTGGTTGCCATGGTAAGGAGGGTCAGGGAGGCACTTCCTAGGCCTGTTTGGCTGCTTAGATCCCCTGACTAGTCCTCTTAGTAGCTCTCTCTGCCTCTCCACCCATGGCCTCCTTTAGCATCACTAGTAGTCCTGGTAGCTTGCTTTCTTTGTTTGTTTGATTTATGTGGTTTTTTAAGTAGATAAAGTTTTTTTTAATTGGGATTCTGAAAGGAAAAAATATATGTTTAATAAAATGGGCCTTTTAAAATAAATTACTATGTAGTTGTTTTTTCTTTTTCTTTTTTTTTGGTGTGTGTGTATGTGTGTGACTACTAATAACATCTGCCCAAGTCTGTCTCAGAACTTGATGTGCATCTGCAGACGGGCCTTTGCTCCCTTGTTGTGTTTTAGAGACGACTATGTTTTTGGCTTTTTTTTTCTGTACCATATAGGGTCCTGTGTGCCCCAAGCTGACTTTAAGCTCTGACGGAGCTCACAGGATGTGAGCTTGCTGCCAGCTCCTGAGTGCTGCTGACATTCCAGGTGTGTGTCCTACACCTAGACTACTCAGTACTGAGGATGGAACCCAGGACTTCCTCTGTGACAGGCAAGAACTTCACCGACAGAGCTGCATCCCAAGCGCCCTCAAAAATTTTTTAAGGGCGGTGGTGGCGCACGCCTTTAATCCCAGCACTTGGGAGGCAGAGACAGGCGGATCTTTGTGAGTTCGAGGCCAGCCTGGACTACAGAGTGAGTTCCAGGAAAAGGCGCAAAGCTACACAGAGAAACCCTGTCTCGAGGGGGGAAAAAAATTTAAGATTTATTTTTGCCAGGCAGTGGTGGCACACGTTTTGTTTTTGTTTTTTTTGTTTGTTTTTTTTTTTTTGGTTTTTCAAAACAGGGTTTCTCTGTGTAGCTTTGCTCCTTTCCTGTAACTCATTTTGTAGACCAGGCTGGCCTGGAACTCACAGAGATCTGCCTGCCTCTGCCTCCCGAGTGCTGGGATTAAAGGCGTGCGCCACCACCGCCTGGGTTGGTGGCACATGTTTTTAATCCCAGCACTTGAGAGGCGGAGGCAGGTGGATCTGTGAATTCAGAGCCAGCCTGGTCTACAGAGTAAATTCCAAGACGGCCAGGGCTACACAGAGAAATCTTGTCTCAAAAAAAACAAAAAAAGCAACAACAACAAAAGATTTATTTTCATTTTATGAGTATAACTGTTTTCCCTGCATTTATGTGCACCATGTACATGCCTGGTACCCAAGAAGGCCAGGAGGTGTTAGATCCCCTGGAGCTGGAGTTACAGATGGTTGTGAGCCTCCATGTGGGTGCTGGGACCCAAACTCAGGTCCTCTACAAGAGCAGCAGTGTTCTTAATCACTGAGCCCTCTCTCCAGCTCCTCTTTTTCATATTTTGAAATTCCTGGCCACACTTGTGAATAATCATGGACCCACTGAGGACTAGAGCTTACCTCTTGGTTTAACTGTGGAGGGTGCCTTAGTTAGGGTTTCTGTTGCTATGAAGGGACACTATGACCACGGCAACCCTTATAAAGGAAAGTGTTTGACTGGAGTTTGCTTGCATTCAGAGGTTTAGTCCATTATCATCATGGCCGGAAGCATGGCAACACACAGGCAGACAAGGTGCTGGAGAGGGAGCTGAGAGTTCTACATCTTGGCAAGCAGCAGGAAGAGTGACACTGGGCCTGACTTGAGCATCTGAAACCTCAGAGCCCACCCCCAGTGACACACCTCCTCCAACAAGGCCACACCCACTCCAACAAAGCCATACCTCCTAATAGTGCCACTCCCTACTCTATGAGCCTAAGGGGGCCATTCTCATTCAAACCACCTTGGAGAGTGTGGGCCATCTGGACTAAGATGCAGCCTATCAAGATCATACTGAAAAGGGGGTAGTCTTGGTTCTTTTTGGTTTTTTGAGACAGGGTTTCTCTGTGTAGACCTGGCTGTCCTGCTGGCCTTGAACTCGGGAGATCTGACAGCCTCTGCCTCCCAAGTGCTGAAACTAAAGGTTTGCACCACCACACCCAGCTAGTCTTGTTTTTGTTTTAATAACTTATTTTTTATTTTATGTGCAGTGGTGTTTTGCCTGCATGTATGTCTGTGTGAGGGTGTCAGATCTTGGAATTACAGACAGTTGTTAGTGGCCACGTGGTGGCTAGGAGTTGAACCTGGCTCCTCTGGAAGAACAGTCAGTGCTCTTAACTGCTGAGCCCTCTCTCTAGCCCCTAGTCTTGGTTTTTTTAAGACTATATTGGGTCAGTAATAATCCTGTTCTTTTTTTTTTTTTTTTTTTTTTTACATTTATGTGTGTGTCACTGTGTGTAGAGGTCAGAAGACAAAGGAATCAGTTATCCCCGCCATGTGGGTGGGTCCAGGGATTGAACTCTGGTAGTTGGGTGGAAAGCACCCTTTGGCCCTGTAATTGCCCCCTTTGTGGTTCAGCATTCTTCTACTTTGAAGGTGGCCACAGGGCAGCTAACTAGAGCCCTGGCCAGACTTCCGTCAAATGTCGTATGGTCATTGTATTGATCTAACACAGCACTGGCTGAATGGGGCCTCCAAGTGAGGCCTGCCTTGCCCTGCTGCCTTGCCTCCCTGTGGGCTTCCTCTCCCCTCTGGACTCTTGGGATACTCCTTATCCTCCACACAGGTCCTGAGGCATGTTCCTGGCAGACTGGCATCTCTTGGACCACCCTCCTGGAAGTAACCACAGTCCTTGCTTCTCTGGCATATGGACACTTTTAAGAGATTCTGGCCTGGAGGTGGTGGCGCACCCCTGTAATTCTGGGACTCAGAAGCAAGGCGAACCTGGGCTATACAATGATACCCTGTCTCAAAGATAACATTGGAGCAGGAGAGATGGCTCTTGCAAAGGACCTGATTTCAATTCCCAACAACCACATGGTGGCTCTGAACCATCTGTTATTCCAGTTCCAGGGGGTCTAACACCTCTTCAGGTCTTTGGGGCACCAGGCACACAATTGATGACATGCATGCAAGCAGAACCCCCATACACATAAGATTTAAATGGAAAAGTAAACCATTGTCAGCATTGAAACCTGCTCTGTTCGGTACCTGATGCTGTTGGACTCATCCCATGTGGACCCACACATCTTGCTCCAGCTAGGATGATAGAACACACACACACACACACACACACACACACACACACACACACACACACACACACCATCCCCCAGAGAACCATGTCAAGTTTATTAATGGCTTGGGCCAGTTGCCATTTTGGCCCTGATAGTGATTGACAGTAACCCTAAAGGTCACAGGTCAGTCTGGTCCATCTTTGTGGGTCCAATGGATGATAGAGCCCTAGATACATCGAGTTTGTAAGATGTGCTCTTCCTTCCCTGGCCTGAGGCTCAGGGTGGTGCACTGAGGATGCCTTCCTTTGTTGCCTGGGGATGAAACAAGGTGAAGGAGTTGCCCTCTATTGGTTGGATTGACCAAAGTGTTCAGTGGAGCCACATACTCTGTAGAAGCCCACATGGTTTAGGGCTGGGAACTGGACTGCTAGCAGAATCCACCTACATGGGTCTCTGCTCCCTGGAAGTTTGCAAAACTTGTACTTGCATCAAACTCCACAACGCTCTGTGGTGATCAGCTGGCACTAGAAGAGGAAGCTGTTTAAGCCATTCCTAGAATGGAAACATACCATTCCTGGTCCAGGAACCCAAGACCCTAGGGCTTCAAAGTTCAAGACCAGGTGATCCTGAGCACTATGGAGGTCATTCCTCAGGGTTGTGTTTGCATCTCACATGTTTAGGGAGCAGGGGAGATCTCAGATATAAAGCTGTCTGAAGGTTTTCCAAGCGTTATAACACCCCTTTGTTAATGTGAGGCAATTGACGGGCCATTGAACTATACCCTCACCTATTTATGTTCCTCCTGTCATAACCCACTGTATGGGCATGTATGTCGTCTTCTGGGGTTCTGTGAGCAAAGATGCTGATGCCAGTTTCTGACCCAGCATCTAGATATTAACAGCTAGGATGTTAACTTAGAAGCAGAATGAAATAAGTTCTGGACTGATAACTGAGTGGAAGCCCAGCTTGGCCCCTTAGCACATTCCCAGATTTGCTGATCAGTGTCTCAGGGGCCACTGCTGTTTATGGTAGTCACAGGCCAGTATAGTGCTTCAGTCTGATGAAAAAGAAAACAGTCTCTGTGTGTGTGAGTCCATCCAGCTGCCTGGATGTGGCTGAATGGGGATAATGTTTATAGGAGCTGGCTGTTCATGGAAACCCCAGGAGAGACTAAACCAGCCCTCCTCATACTCACTTTTCCAGTCAAACATGACCTCAAGCATGTAGGAGGAACCTCAGGCATATAGATATCCAACAACTGGGTCCCTCAGCATCTTGCCTTCCCTGCCTACTCTAATTGTTGACCAGAAACATATTTGTGAATTGAAATAACAAAATCCCAGGGTTCGAGTGAGCCCCCGAGGATGCCCTTCTCCAGGTGAGAATAGAGAGGTGTGGATTTGTTGGAGTGGGTATGACCTTATGGAGGAAGTGTGTCACAGTTATACACAGTTTCAAAACACCCTGTGAGTGCTAGCAATTGAACCTGGGTCTTCTGCAAGGACAAGTGCTCTTGACTGTTAAGCCCCTCACTGTGGTATTTTCAGACAGGTCTTACTGTGTAGCTCAGACTGACCTCTAATTAGTAATCCTCCACCACTCCTCCTTTTCCAGTGCTTGACTTACAGGCCACTTGCTCACCTTTGCACAAGGGGAAACAGGTCCGGAGTGGTTAGTGAGGGCTAATTGAGGTGTCCCTGTGGGCACTCCCCAGTCAGGTAAACCGGGAGGCGTCACCAGATGACAGTACGCACCACTATGAGTCACATGTCTGGGTGAAGAGCAAGGCAGGCAGGGTCTCCACCCTCATGGAATTTATCTCCTGCCTGGACAGACTTTCCCCCCTTGATACAGGCCAAAGGTCCCCACCCTCCCTCCTAATCTCGGCCTCTCTTATCTTCCCACTCTGACTTCCTTAAAGATGCTTGGACATCATTCCTGCCTCAAGGCCTTTGAACCTCTGAACCTTCCTATCTTCATTCACTTTTATCTTTTTTTTTTTCATGTTTTTTAGAGAGAAAGTTTCTCTGTGTGTTTGTCTGTGTGGGCCAGCTGTCCTGGAACTTGCTCTGTAGACCAGGCTGGCCTCGAATTCAGAGATCCGCCTGCCTCTGCCTGTGTTACCATGCCTGGCCCAATTTACTTCTATCTATAAGATTGTTATTTTTATTGAGGATTTAACCTAGGACCACTTGTATGCTAGGCAAGTGATCAACCCTTGAGATAAACCCCAACGACCACCACCCTTTTTACCTTTGGGTCAGGGTCTCCCTAAGGTGTACAGACTGGCCAGGAACATACTCTGTAGTCCAGGCAGGCCTTGTTTGTAGTCTTGAAACTGCACAGCAGGGGCTGGCCCCTGTGTTGCCTCCACTCAGGATCACCTCAGTCACACAGCAAGCCTGAAGCCAGCCCCCACTGTTGGAAACCCAGCCTCCCAACTACAGGCAACCAACCACAGCTCCAGTGAGGTTTCCACTTGAAAATCTACCCTCTGCCTAGCACACCACACACTTAGTGCTCCTCTGCTCCACTGCATTCCTCAGCTTTTATTCCTGTGGGTGGAATGGGTATTAGGTTTTGGATACAGAATCCACTTATGTTAAGACAAGTTTTGGTTATATGAGTTCCAGGCCAGATAGGTCTACATGAGACCCCTGTAGGGGACTAGAGGGATGGCTAAACAGTGAAGAGCACTGGCTGCTTTTCCAGAGGCCATGGGTTCGAATCTCAGCACCCACATGGTGGTTCACAACTGTAACTCCAGCTCCAGGGGATCTGACACTGTCTTCTGACCTCTTCAGGCACCAGGCATGCATAGACAAAACAGCTATATATGTAAGAATTTAAATTTTAAAGAGGGGAGGTGGTGAAGAGCATTTACTATTCCTGCAGAAGAGTGCGGTTTGGTTTCTAGCACCCACTGTGGCTCAAAAACACTTGTGACTCCAGTTCCAAGGGATGGCAACCCTCTTCTGGCCTCCACAGATACCGGCACACACACATGTAAGCATTCACACATGCATAAAATTTTTAAAATCTTTTTAAAAAGTATTTTAGAGGCGGGGCAGTGACACACCTTTCATCCCAGCACTGGGGCAGCAGAGGCAGGTGGATCTCTGTGAGTTCAAGGCCAGCCTAATCTACAGAAAAGTTCCAGGACAACCAGGGCTGTATTAGGCAGAGAAACACTGTCTCAAAAAAACAAGAAAAAACAAGTATTCCAGATAATGATAAGCACCAAACTTGTGCTGGAATGACGGGGCCTGCAGCAACTAGGGCAGGCATTTCTGCAAAATGACACTGAAGCGGGCATCTGGAGCGGCACGTGCTCGTTATGATACGAGTAGGCATTTGTTTTTCATATTTTTCTATTACAGTTCTCTCTCTTTGTGTGCATGTGCCCGGATGTGCACCTGTGGTACCAGCGTCAACTTGCAGGAGCTAGTTCTCTCCTCCATGTGGGTCTTAGCGATTGAACTCGGCTCACTAGCCTTGGCAAGTGTCTTTACCCAATGGGCCACCTCACCAGCCTCATTTTTTTGAGACAGGTAGAGCCCTGGTTGTAGCTCTGGTTGTCCTGGACCTCGCTCTGTAGCCCAGGCTGGCCTCGATCTCAGATATCTGCCTGCCTCTGCCTCCCGAGTGCTAGAATTAAAGGTATGTGCCATGACACTCTGTCATGCTATGTAGCCCAAGCTATAGCAAAACTTTAAATCCTCCTGAGGTCTCCTGAAGAGTGGAATTACAGTCCTGCATCACTGTGCCCAGCTTGGAGCTAATGTTTGTGATCAAAAAAGTTAGATGGTGAAGCCCAGTCCTAAATGTGATGGTTTTGAAGAGGTACTGTTGAAGGTAATAGGATCTTGAGAGTGAAACTCCCCATTGGGATTAGAGCCATTAGGAAGAGAACCTGCATCCAGACATAAGAAAAACCAAGACAAACTGGCAGGATGCAGGCCATCTCCACACTAGGGGTCTGTCTCTGTTCTGGCACCAAGCTCTCAGCCTCGACAGCTATAAGGTAAATTACTGTTCAAGCCACTTACCTGCTGTGTTTGTTTTAACAACCCAAATTAAGACACCTGCCTTTATCAAAACAACACAACACATTTCACAAGCACTTACTCTGCCAGGCACCAGTCTAGGAATTTAACCCATCTGCCTTGTCTTCCACCATCACCCCAGGGTGCAACTTTGCTGAGGCCTTCTTCCTTCCGGCTGCCACCAAGCTGCACTAGTTTGGGATCCAAATCCCTGACACTACTTTTCTCAGGCCGAGGGGCCGGGAACCGAGCCCCCCCCCCCCCCACGCTCCCAGGATGGTCTTTAACTTTGTTCAGTGTACATGGAAAGACAGGCCTCAACCCTTTCCCCAGAACCCACAGCCACCCCCACCTCCATTGCGCACAGAGGGAAGTCTGGGTGGGGCTGGGAGCGGCAGTGCAATGAGTGAGTCAGGGCCTGAGTTGAGGGGTGCAAAGGTCCGGAGGGTGGGGCTTCGCAGAATTCCTGGGGGGGGGGCAGGTCTCGCGGCCCCACCCCCTGCCCCAGGCACTGCCTAAGCCTTCAGACCTTCCAGACAGCGATCATCGCCATGGATTTCGACCTGTCCGCAGGTAATGCTCCCCGGAGTGGTGGATTTGCGGTACTGTACGAGGTGGGGGCCGGACTCAAATCCAGGAACTCCCACCGAAGGGCCTCTCCCAGCTGCCTGCACAACCCGTCTAACTTTTCTTTCCTCGGCAGCCCTGGGCCCTGGTTCTAAGAAGCCAGAGGGGACAGGTCAAGTGGGAAACCCCAAGCACTGTCCCCCTAAAGCTCCGGGCCGACCAGAGGCAGGCACTGCTCACAAGCCAAGGGTAAGTCACCTCACCACCGGGCATCGCGACTCGAGGGCCCAGGATGGGGACTGGCTTCCGTCCTGGGTGTTCGGCCACACCTCAGCCTCTCAGCTTGGTTGGAAGCTGCCTCACCCCCTTACTGTCACCCCCCCCACCCCCATCTAGCATGGCTCCGGCAGCTCCTCTGACTCCAGCAGCAGCAGCAGCTCCAGCGACTCAGAGGGGGAGGGAAAGGTAAGAGGTTGCCCCTCTCCCTGCATGACCCTGGTCAGGGTCAGCTTAGGATCCTTGTTGCGGTGGGTGGGGCAGGTCCAGTTCCGCTCCCAACCGGGCCACCTCTTCTTTCTCCCGCCCACCGCCCTCGGCCCTCAGAAGCACGCCACCGGCTGCAAGAAGCATGAACGTTCCTCGGACAAGGCCAAGAAACCCAAGGTGAAGAAGGAGAAGAAGAAAAAAAAGGCGGCCCCCCACTAACCTATTAAAGCTTGCAGCCCGCCCCGCTCCCCAGCGCCCCCTGCCGGTCAGGAGCGGAGGCCGCGCTGAGCCCATCAGGTTTATTGTTGTGGGTGTGCAGCTGGCGACAAGAGCACCTTGGCTGGGAGGGAGGGGCACGGGCCTGGAGACGGGGCCCGGGTCGGCTGAGATGAATGTGGCAGCGGAAGGCGAGGCTGGCCGCTCATCGTACCAGGTGGAAGGTGAGCCAGTACATGAGCAGCGGCTGCGCGGCCGCCACCGCCATGGTCAGGTACATGCGCAGCTGGTTCCGCGCCCCACGCACCGGTACCCCTTCGGCCGCCGCCTGGGCCAGGATCTTGAGCCGCAGTGTCCGGATCTGCGTACCACGGGGGAAGATGGGGAAAAATGGGTCAGTGTGGGGGTCCCTGCCCCTCTGCGGCCTCTAGCTTGCTCTCCTGGAAGGCTCTGCTGAGTTGCTACTTCGCCAGGCCTGTGAGCAAGCCACTGTGGGTTCCAGAAGCAAAGGCCAGGTGAGGTTCTGTAGGATGTAGTTAGGATGAGCAGCAAGACTGTAGATCCGACCTGAAGGGCGTGGCTTAGCCCCTTCCGCCTACCAGGAGACAGTGCCTTCCCTCATGCAAGGCAGGTCCCCACCCACGCTAGGTCACTGCCCTACCACTGCATAACACAACCGGCCCCAGAAGACACGTTTTCAGACAAGCTAGAAGAGCTCTTTTCTTTTTGCTCATGCTTAGGTGCGTTCTCTTTTTGAGGGTGGTAGAGGGCAGGATCTTGATACATAGTCCTGGCTGGCCTCGAACTCTATGTAGACAAAGTTGGCGACAAACTTGTGGCGATCCACTTGCCTCGATCTTCTCAGTGCTGGAATTACAGCCCTGAGCCACACTCGGCTTTTTTTTTATGTATTTGTTTTGTGGGGTTGGGGCACTTGAGCCCTGGTATGGAAGCTGGCACAACTTGTAGGACTTGTAGGAGTCAGTTCTCTCCTTCCACTCTGGGTACCAGGGGTAGAACTCAAGTTGTCAGCAAGGGCCCTTCCCTGCTTAGACATCTCACAGGCCCCCGAATGCTCGGGTTTTGGATGTGCGTGTGTGTGCGTGCGCGCGTGCGTGCGTGCGTGCGTGCGTGTGTGTGTGTGTGTGTGTGTGTGCATGTGCGTGTATGTACATACATACTTGTGGCGGCTACAGGACACCCTTGGGTGTCTACCCTTTTTCTTTTCTCCAGACAGGGTCTCTCATTAACCAGGCATTTTACCAAGTAGGCCAGGCTGGCAGATCAGTGAGCCCCAGGGACCTACCTGTCTTCACATCTGCAGCCCTGAGATTATAAGGGTACGCCTCCACTCCTGGCTTTCCCTCCTCTTTGGCTTTTTTGACACAGGGTTTCTCTGTATAACAGCCCTGGATGTCCCAGAACTTGCTCTGTAGACCAGGCTGGCCTCGAACTCAGATCCACCTGCCTCTGCCTCCTGAGTGCTAGGATTAAAGGCGTGTGCCACCACTGCCCAGCTCTTTTTTTTTTTTTTTTAATGTGGAGTCTAAGGATTTAACTCAGGTCTTCTTTACTGATGGAGCCATCTCCCTAGCTCCTCTAACTTTTAAATGATGACAAGACTTTCGCTTGTGGGTCAGATTTACCAGACAATCCCAGTGTTTGCCCTCTGCTTCTCATTCATGCTGGGTCTAAATCCTCCCAAGACCCTGAGGTACAGTCACGAGGCACCCCATTTTACAGAAGAGACAAAAGCTTAAGTTGAGGAAATGACTCACCCTGAGTACAGCGAGGGGCCAACCTAAGCATGGCGGTCCCTACTGCCCTCAGTCAGTACTGGAAGGACTCAGCCTCCTTGCAGGGGCGTACTGGCAGAAAGCCCAGGATGTAGGAACAGAAGTGAGGGTGAGCACCGAACCTAGAGCCTCTGTACTGGGCAACCCTGGCCCCCGGCACCTGACTGGTTCTGGCCCTTCCCAGAGGACCCATACAGGAGACCCCTCTTCCAGGAGGGCTCCTAGTCTCCAGGTTTGGGGCACTCTAAGCCCTCCCAATTCAGCAATATGACTGATCTAAATTCTCTGTACTTGGATGCTCTAAAGACCTCCCCAGGTTTGTCCAGGAGGCCTGTGGTCTGTCTTTCCCACCCCAAGCCCCACTTACCATGAACACAAAGATGGACACACAGCACCAGCCAAGCATGAGGTAGTAGCCAATCTTTCCAAAGAGCAGACCCATGAGGACCCCACCAATCATCCTGAGAGTGAAGGAGAAAGCGGGTGAAGAAGAGGCCAAGGTCTGGGACTGGCAGGCAGGGTAGGAGCACTCACCCGACATATTTGTAGCCCAAGAAGGCCACCAGGTCAATGGTGGTGAGGTCGGTGTTGACAGTGACCAGGTAGAGACTGAGCAGGATGGCTACAACCTCCAGGGTCAGCCAGGCCAGTGCCGAGCTCGCCTGCAGTCCCAGGAGGTCTGGGGAGAACCTGCCGGAAGTGACAACACTTGCTCTGTCACGGGGCTGGTAACTCAGACACCCTCTGAGCATCCCCTGGGGCAGCCCTGTGTCAGGGCCCCTGGAGATGGAGAAGGGACCAACAAGGATGCGGGTCTGTGCCCAGACAGTGACACTTGAGTCAGGGCTTGAATGGAGGGCCTCTGAGCCCTGTGAGGGGTACCAGGAGGGCTCCTCCTTAAAGAAGGGACAGCTGGGCTGAAGCCTAAAGAGTCAGGAGCTGGTGGGGTAGGGCCTTGTCTCTGCCCTGGAGCCTTAGCAATGAATCCACTGCTTCTGCTGACACTTGTTTTCAGTGCCACAAAAGGGAAGGAACAGGCAGCTGTGCTTGAGAGGTGGGGCTGACTCAGCCTGGAGGTTAGGAAGTGACATAGGATGGGAACCACAGTGAATGAGCAGGTGCTGGGCACATGTCGGGGAAGAGCACATTCCTGAATCAAGGTACTAACTGGATGTACAAGGGCGCTGAGGCAGCCCCAGCAGGGCAGGGTGAGCACGGAGGTGGGAAGGATCAGGGGCTTGATCTTCGAGCCAAGACAGCTGGACGGAATAGGGGGGCGGGCCAGGATCACCTCTCAGATGCTCCTAGAGCAAGAGTACACCGGGTGATGGTGGGGAGCAGCTCACCTAGAGGACTGTGAACATAAGGACAGATCTGTGGGTGGAGGCCAGAAGGAAGGAAGGGTGGATTTAGAAGGTCACCCAGCACAAAAGGGCCTGATGGGCTTCATGTGGGTGGGTGAAGGATGTCATTGAGGTGACGACTGTCTCAACCAACTAGTAGCAAGGTTCTAAGACAGGAGAGCCGAGACCATCCCCACCCACTCCCCTGCTCCAGGATCCTTACCTGTCCTGGGTTCCCAGTGCAAGGCCGGCTACCAGGATGTAGGTGATGAAAGCCATGGCTGTGAAAGGCAGACACAGGCACTTGTCAGAGGAGGAGAAGCCCTCCTTGGCCACCAGGCACCCACACATCTGTCCCAGACATGCCCAGGCAGTGGTGGGAGGGTGTAACCTGGAATGTAGAGGTCTGGAGCGTTGATGTCAAAGCGGGGGGCCACTGGGGTGTCCTGCTGGTATTGTACCTCCCAGTCCTGTGGAGAGAGTTGGGGGAGTGGCAGGACCCCAGGCTGAGGTCCTCCCACCCTGCTTCCGGGCAGGCGCGGAGCGAGCGGGAGGTGCTGACCTGGTGTAGGTAGGGAAAGACGAGCAGGCCCAGCTTCCTGCCCACGTACACGGTGTCCACAGCGAAGTAATACTTCAGCTTGGTGACGGGGATGAAGCGGTCAATCTGGGGAGAGGAGGCAAAGCTCAAGCCTGAGGCCCTGTGGCCCCTGCCTGCCCCTCAGCCCCTGCCCACAGCCCACCAGCCAGGTCTACTCACATTCTTGTCCACCAGCTCCTTGCCCTGAGCGGCCAGGCTGCTCCCATAGGCCATCGCCATGTTGGACATAGGGTTAGCCAAGAAGGCTGTCTCAGGAGAGGAGGAAGGGGAGGGGTAACCCAGACCACCAGGTGACGGCTGGCCTCCATAGCCCCGACTCGGGGTGGAACTTGTATCGTCGAAAAACTGGTGGGGATCAGCCATGCCTGGCTGGGATACCGGGACCCTCCGCTTTGAGGCTGCGGAAGAAAATGGAGGGGGCTCATTCATTTTGCACAGGTTCCACCTCCTGCTCCAGCCCCAGCTGGGACAAGGGGCACCAAAATAGCCCCGGCTATGATGTCAGATGGGCTGCCATCTTCGCACCGATCCATTCATCTATCTGTCCATCATCTATCCACCCACTCACCTGCCATCATCAGTTCATCTGTCCATCATCCATCCTTTCCTTACCCACCCCCCATTCACCCCTCATGTTTCACCTATCTAGACACAGGATGAGGGTGGTGATGATGAGCTCCGTGGTCCTGGTACACAATCCTGTGCCACCATTACAAACAGGGCCCTCTTCCTACTCCTCCCACACTGTCTTCCCTAGTCTGTCCCGCTGGGCTTCTCAGTGTTCCCTGACACACTGGGCACAGACTCAGCTCAGGGCCTCTCTTCTAGCCCTGCCTCAGCCTGGAACATTCTCCTCCTCACACTTTCGTGGCTCTCTCCTCTCTTCCCCAAGTCTTGCTGCATAGAGTGTAACTCTCTCGGCAGCACCCACCAATCCCTCCTCCACTGATGGCGACAGCACTGAGCAGCAGCTGCAGATGACCTGTTTCTTTTGTTCACTGGAAGGACCCCCACCCCAGGGTGGGAACAGCACCTTGTTCGCAGCTGACTCACCCAGCTCCTCGAACAGGCTTAGGTTGTGCACTCACCCTACTGGACACATGGAAAATAACGCCCAGCCAGGCACACGGCTAGAACAAAAGCCCGGGCTCGGTGTGCAGCCAAGAGTGTCTCGTAAGTGCTATGACCATTTAACCTGAGGGAGCACTGACCCCACACCACGTGTACAACACGATAGCTCCGCTCATCCACTCACAACCAGCCTGATTCAATTGGTGCTGTTAGCACTTAAAACTTATTTTTAGTAGGACAAGAGTTGGGATTTAATAAAGATATTCCAATATAGGCTTAAGCACAAGGGTTAAGAGAGAGATGCTCTCAGAAAAAGAAGACACACTGAGAGCATGGTATGGGCTTCTCGAAGAATCACAGAAAGTAAGATGTACCCAGGGGAGGCTCTGGGCTTCTCAAGGCAGCATGCTATTGTCCACATTTTATTTTATTTAAAGGACTTATTAGTTTATTATATATAGTGTTCTGTCTGCATGTACACCTGCAGGCCAGAAGAGGTCACCAGATCTCATTACAGATGGTTGTGAGCCACCATGTGGGTGCTGGGAATTGAACTCAGGACCTCTGGAAGAGCAGTCAGTGCTCTTAACCTCAGAGCCATCTCTCCAGCCCCTATTGTCCACATTTTATAGAGGAGAAAAACCAGAGCAAAAAACTGAGGTTTAGGGCTAGAGAGATGGCTCAGTGGTTAGGAGCACTGGCTACTCTTCCAAAGAGGACCTGGGTTCAATTCTCAGCATCCACATGGCAGCTCACAATTGTCTGTAACTCCAGTTCCAGGGGATCTGACACCCTCATACAGACATACATGCAGGCAAAAACACCACATGAAATTAAAAAAGAAGAAGCAGCAGCAGCAGCTGAGGTTCAAAGTCACTCAGATAGTACAAGACAGTGCTCCCTTTCAAGAGCTTGCTCAGCCAGGCATGGTGCTGCACGTCTTTAATCCCAGTACTCTGGGATCTCTGATTTCGAGGCCAGCCTGGTCTACAGATGGAATTCTAGAACAACCAGGAAGATTACATGCAGGTTGCCAACACTACCAGTCTCAGAAGACAAAACCACCCCAAATCAACAAACAAGGGAACAAGGTGGAGGGGTTGGGAAAATGACTCCGCTATGGAGAATGCTTGCTGCTCTTCCAGAGGACCCGAGTTCAATTCCCAGCACCCACAACCACCTGTAAAGTCAACTCCAGGGAATCGAACACTGCCCCTAGCCTACACACACACACACACACACACACACACACTATATATATACATATACACACACACATATATATTTAAATAAAATATTTTAAACAACAAAACCAAGCCCTAGGTAGCTAGTATCTGAAGACTGAAACCCAAGGCTGACCTCTAGCATCCACCACATATAGGCACATCCACACACAAACAAGCACACCCTTCTCCCTCCCCACTAAAAAACCGGTAGAGTGCTAACCAAGCATATTCCAGGTACTGCGCTCCAAGACACAGGGTTCAGTTCCCCAGCATGGCATAAAACAAAAACAAAACCCCAAGATAATTTGTGAAAGTTCCATCTGACTTTGTGGGGGCAGGGAACCACTGGAAGAGTAGCAGCTGCTGAGTGGGCCAGGCTAGAGACCAGGGTGGCCATTGCTGGGGGTGGGGATATTGAAAGTGGCCATTTATGTACAGAGCCAGGGGGCAGGACATGCTGAAGCTGTGCTGGGTTGGGGTGTGGAGAGGAAGTGGAGGAATCCCCTCCTTCCCAAGACTGGTCTAAGCAGGGGTGGGAGGTGCTGTCTGGGGAGATGGGGCTAGCCCTCGGGCTCCAGATCCTGACTGTTGAGCAGGCTAGCACTGCTGTGGCACAGAGAACTAAGCACATAAGACTGCAAGACCAGGAGGAGCAATCGGACCATGAGTGAACCTGCCCTTCAACTGTCTCCTCTGTGGTCTATCAAACTGCCTCATGATACTCCCATAAACTTCCAGCTGGGCATGGTGGCTAACATCTGCAATCCCAGCACTCAGGAGGCTGAGGCAAGGGGATTATATAAACGTGTTATCTTTTGTTTTGAGAGATTTATTTATTTAATGTGGATGAGTTTTGACTGCTGTTGAGCTACCATGGGAGTGCTAGGAACAGAACCAGGTCCTGTAAGAGCCACAAACACTCTTCACTGATGAGCCGTCTCTCCAACCCCGGGTGTACATGTTTGTGTGTGCACTCAGGATGCATGTGTGTGCAGAGGCCAGAGGTCAACACTAGTTGTCTCTCAGATCCTCTCCACCTTATATTTTGAGCCAGGATCGCTCACTGAACCTGGAGCTCACTGATCTGGCTATGCAAGCTGGACAAGCCCTAGGAATCCTGTCTTGGCCTCCGCAGGGCTGGGATCACAGCAAGTACTGCCATGCCCACCTATTTACGTGGGTGCCAGGGACTCAAGTCCTTACATCTGAGCAAGGTACCCTTGACTGAGTCATTTTCCCAGCCCTCCCTCACCTTTTTAAAAACAGGGTCTTACTGTGTAGCTGGCCCAGGTTGGCCTTGAACTCAAATGCCTCCTGCCTCCACCTTCCAAGTACCTAGGACAATAGGCCTATACCTCAGGCCCAGCTCACTCTTCCACTCCTTTCTAACTAAGCATTTGGTGCCGTCCACCCAGGTGGTGGCAACCTCTAACCACTGACTCACCTCGCATGCTCACCCCAGGAACATCTGGCTAGGACTTGTGTCATGAGCCCCTGCTGTGGACGTAGCAGCAGACAAGACAGCCAATGCTCCTGCCTTCCTGGACCTCCTCTGGGTTGGGTCCTTTCCAGATCTCAGAAATGGGTGACCCAATTTTCCACCCTTGCCCTCCTCTCCTCCTCTCACTGAATGCAATCTTGCTCACGATCAGCCTCATATCCACAGTGCCTTTGGCATCTGGGCTCCATCTCCAGCTGATCTGAGGCCTTCTGGGTCCAGCCTCAGGTCTTCTACCTCCAGGCTTCACCTTTCTGCCCACCCAGCCACTCTGACATCCAGCCAACAGTCCCCTACTTCTCACACAGTGCCTCTTACCCTCCCCTCTGTCCCCATCACTGCCTATTGGACTTAAGCATCTCACTTGGTCCTGTCTAATTTCTGTTTCCTTTTCCTTCCAGTGTTTTGAGTCAGGGCCTTGCTATGTAGCTCAGGATACCTTCAAACTCATATGGAGTGTGGGGGGTTATAGTTGTGTACCACTATGCCAGGCTCCTTGCCTACTCTTAGCCTCCCTGAAGGAGTCTCCAGTAGGCAGCTAGATACTTCTTTTGAAGTATGGAGCATTGGAAACCAGGGCCTTGTGCGTGCTACGCAGGTGTTCCACCACTTAGCTGCATCACTGGCCCTCTTTTTATTTTCTTTTAAAGACAGGGTCTTCCTGGGGTGTGGTGGTGAATGTCTTTAATCCCAGCACTCAGGAGGCAGAGGCAGGTGGATCTCTGTGAGTTTGAGGCCAACCTGGCCTATGGAGTGAGTTACAGGCCAGCCAGGGCTACGTGTCTCAGTAGAAAAAAAAAAAAACTAAAACAAACAAGCAAAAAACAGAGTCTAAGTTCTTCAGGCCAGGCTGACTTGGAACTATGTAGGCCAGGCTGGCCTTGAACTTGAGATCTGCTTTAGCCTCCCAAGCAGTGAGGATTATAGGCCTATACCACCAGTCCTTGCTCTGTGATACTCATATCTTTTTGTTTTTTGTATTTTTGTTTTGTTTTTCGAGACAGGGTTTCTATGTGTAGCTTTGTGCCTTTCCTGGAGTTCACTCTGTAGACCAGGCTGGCCTCGAACTCACCAAGATCCGCCTGCCTCTGCCTCCCGAGTGCTGGGATTAAAGGTGTGCACCACCACTGCCCGGATCTTTTTGTTTTTTTAAGACAAGGTCTCACTATGTAGCTCTTGCTGTTCTGGGACTCGTCCTGTAGCTCAGGCTGGCTTTCAACTCACAGGTAATCCTCCTGCCTCTGCCTCACAAGTACCTGTGCCATGTCACCTGCATGATCCTTTTAAGTGAACATAAACCTTTTCATCTTTTGCCTGAGATCAGGGAGCACTGTGCTGTGAACCAAGTTCAAACAGCCCTGCCAGGCACTCTGGCCCCAGCCCCACGGCCTCCTCTCAGGTCCCAACTTTGACAAACCCCGCTTCATCATGCAACACTATCGTCCTGGAACACCCTTCACCCTGCCAATGTCACACTCGGGACTCTGCTCAGTGTTCCCTTCTCCTGACCAACTTCACTCATTCCCTCTCATAATGCCCAGGGTCCTCCGTATTGTTTATTTTCTTGGCACAGGACTCCATAGCCTTTCCCTCCATGAATCCCCTAGGTTTTTCATCATCAGGTATGCCCTCTCCAAGGAAGCAGCGATACTTCAATCCTGAGCAAGTGAATTCCACGGCTCCATCCCAGCCCGTGCGCTCCACAACACCATCTGCTCAGCATTCTTTTCAGAAAGAACTAATTCTTCTTAACTCTGTGTGTGTGTGTGTGTGTGTGTGTGTGTGTGTGTGTGTGTGTGTATCTGTGTGTGTCTGTGTGTGTCAGAAAACAACTTTTAGGAGTCAGTTCTCTCCTCCCACCATGTGGCCCAGGTGATCGATCAATCTCAGGTAGTCAGGCTTGGTGGCAAGTACTCTTAACGGGAGCCATCTCTCGGAATTAACTCCTGACATCCCCACCTTTTTCTTTAAAGACAGTCACACCATGTTGCCCAGGCAGGCCCTGAACCCATAATCTTCTTCCCTCCATCTCCCAAGTGCTGGGGTTACAGGTGTGCACCATGGCACCTCACTCCCTTTGCTCCTACCAGAGCAGCTCCATTGCTTCAGGCTGTCCCTGACCTCTGCTCTGTACTGGCAGTTCCATGAAGGGCAGGAACAAGTGCTAGCTGGCCTCTGCTGGATCCCCTGCATCACGCATCACCGGCCTGCCGGACACTGATGCTAGAGTGAAGGGGGAAACGGGTCCTCCTCAGGCCCTAGTATATCCCAGATTACTCTCTACTTATTACTCAACTACTCTTGTTGACTGACACATTTGCTTCCTGTTAAATGTCTTCTTCCTGAACTCTAGCTGTAAGAAAGCAAGAACCAGGGCTTTGGTGGTTACTAGTGTGTGCCCAAATTCCAGCCCAGGGCCTGGCATAAGGTTCACTGGAGTTAAGATATGTTAGAAGAATAAACCAAAAAAACAGGATAGATACACACACACACACACACACAGAGACCGAGACCCCAAGAGGAACTCAAAGAGGAATTCAAATTCGCCGCTGGGGAAAGGAGGTTAACAGGACGATAAATACTAGTTCCGATCGTCAATGGGGTGTAAATATGGCCCTGTCCGCACACGGAGTGCCCAGGCGGCAGTACTGTGGAGCGTGGGTGACAGCTCGTGGGCACTAGGGAGCCTCTGAGAAGTGGGGAGCACAGGAGGGCAAATCGCTGACTGCAAATGAATGGAAGTCGCGTTTCTCTGAACATCACACTAAATTCTACTCCGACTTGCTTTCTTTTAAAGGAATTTACCCGCAATGCGCCCCCTACCCGGACTTGGCATCCCTGCGCTGTGCACACCTAGAATCTCCAGGTCCTGGATCTCTTGACCTCCGTCCGACCTGGAGTGACCTCGCCAACCGCCGCGACGGCCCCGCCACACCCTCGCCCGCCCGATCTCCTCAGCCAGCCACGTACGCCACTTACGCAGCCGGGGCGTCCCCGCCGGCGCCGCCAAACCTGCCGCGTGCATGCTTCGACGCCACCACCGCGAACGCCTCAGCCGCTGTTCGGAATGGACCCGCCCGGGTCCCGTAGCCACGCCCTAGTGGTGCCGAAGAGCCAATAGGTCTCACGATGGCGCGAGAGCTACGCCCTCTAGGGGGAGGCCTGTAGAGTGGGCGGGGGCTTGCGTAAGAGGAGGGAACGAGCTCAGGACGTAAGGGGAGAGAGAGGCCGTACCTGAGGGGCAGCGGGGCGGAAACTGGTACGACCCTAGGAGTAGAAGGCTTCAGGCCGGAAGGAAGACGGTCCTGGTGTAGAGCGCAGAGGTCGACGGGAAATGTAGTTCTTTCCAGGCCGGCTCTCTAGTGGGTTAGCGGAGAGCACAGGGAAGCTGAAGAAGGGTGAAGGAAGGATGCTCACAGTTGTAAGGGCCCTTTACACCAGAGCGGCACTCCTTACAAAAGTGTTGAGGGTGAGAAACGAAGTTTAGAGTAGTGGATTACTTCTGTATTCCAGTACTGAGGAAGCTGAAGTAAAGTCGTGAGTTCAAAGCCAGTCTGAGCTTCGAACATAATGCGCTCTAGTCTCAAAAAAAAAAGGAAGAAAGATGGGGCCGGTGGTGGCGCACACCTTTAATCCCAGCACTCCAGAGGCAGAGGCGAGGATATCTCCATTCAAGGCCAGCCTGGTCTACAGAGTGAGTTCCAGGACAGCCAGGGTTACACAGTGAAACCCTGTCTCGAAAAACCAAAAATTAATAAACAAACAAGATAGATTGAAAAAGAGACACTCGAGAGCCATATTAGGGCAGAAGTACTGTGTATCTTTCTTCATAGGCTCCTTTAAGCAGTTTTCCAGAAATCCATAAAAATGTTCTCACATGGTATCTTTTCCTTCAAAACTTTGTCCACCAAAACCAATGCACACAGAATGTACACAAGTGCACATTCTAGCAGAGAGCCCTGAAGACTAACTTCCTTCTCTGTGTCCCTGGGTGTTCTTTTTCTCTCCTCCTTAATGTGTCCTCACCTCTTTGTTCTGAGAAAGAGTCTCCCACAGTCTAACTTCAAACTCACTAAACTAAAAATGACCTTGAACTCCTGACCTTCCTACTTCTACCGTCCAAATCCAGGGATTACAAACAGAAAGGGGCTGGCCCTCTTTCCTCCACTTATCTCAAGCAAAGAAAAATGGGAGGAAATGACTTTTTTGAAGTGATAGCACTCCAGAGGAGGTGGTTCACAAGTGACCCTGTCATTGTGGCCTCGCCTTCCTCTGCTGAACTTGGCTTCTCGGGAGGAGCCCTGCCTCAGTTGCAGTGTTGAGACACACCGTTTTGCCACTGTGTTAACATCCGACTCCTAGGCACTACCCCATTTCTCACCCTCAGCCCTTCCTTCATCCTGTCTAGATTCATCTTCTCTTGATGTTTTGGGTTTGCTGTGAGCCTCTTTGGTGAATAGAGTCACCTGTAGGTGTCTGTTGAAGGTTGGTAACAGGATCCTACCTACAGCAAAAACCTCGAATGGCCGGCCGGGTGGTGGTGGCGCACGCCTTTAATCCCAGCACTCGGAAGGCAGAGGCAGGCGGATCTCTGCGTTTGAGGCCAGCCTGGTCTACAGAGTAAGTTCCAGGACAGCCAGGACTACACAGAGAAACCCTGTCCTGGAAAACTAAAAAAAAAAAAAAAGTTCAGGGCCAGATGGGGCTAGTATTTGTATGTAACATGTGTAATCCTTCCTTATACCTTAAACCATTATATATATTTTATGATATATATATATATATAATACTTTTTTCATTTTTAGGTGCTGAAGATCAAACTTAGGGTTCCATGTGAGCTAAGCAAGAGCTCCACTACTCAGCCCCTTAAATCATTCTATGTTATTGATCCCTGATACGATAAGTCCTATGTAAATAGCTGTATTTCTGTATTGTTTAGGAAAAAATGACATGAAGGCTAGGCATATAGCACAGTTGGTAGAGTGCTTGCCCTGCGTACATGGGGCCCTGAGTTCTATCCCTACCACCACAGATGAAAAGCATAGGAGGGATACTTGGAAAATATCTGTCCACAATTAGTACAGACTCCTTTTTTTAAACTTTTTATTTTATATGCATTGATGTCTTGCCTGTGTGTATGTCTGTGAGAGAGTCCCCTGGAAATGGAGTTACAGATAGTTGTGAGCTGCCATGTGCGTACTGGGAATTGAACCTGGGTCCTCTGGAAGAGCAGTCAGTGCTCTTAACCGCTGAGCCATCTCTCCAGCCCCTCTTTTTTTGTTGTTGTTGTTTTTTTGTTTTTTTTTCGAGACAGGGTTTCTCTGTGTAGCTTTGCGCCTTTCCTGGAACTTGCTTTGGAGACCAGGCTGGCCTCGAACTCACAGAGATCCGCCTGGCTCTGCCTCCCGAGTGCTGAGATTAAAGGTGTGCACCACCACTGCCCAGCTCTTATTTTTATTTTTCAGCTGTGTGTGTAAATATGTGGGGGTATTCGCATCTGGGTGCAGTGCCTGCAGAGTCCAGAAGAGGGCATTAGATCCCCTGGAACTGGAGTTATAGTTGTAAGCCATGTGACATGAGTGGTGAGAACCCAACAATATCTGTTCTTTTATGCTTTTTTTTTTTTTTTTTTTTTGAGACAGGGTTTCTCAGTGTAGCTTTGCACCTTTCCTGGATCTTGCTCTGTAGACCAGGCTGGCCTTGAACTCACAGAGATCCACCTGGCTCTGCCTCCCCAGTGCTGGGACTAAAGGCGTGTGCCACCACTGCCCGGCATTGCTTTATTTTTTTTAAGAAATTATTTATTTTTATTTTCTGTGTATGGATATTTTGCCTGCATGTATATCTTTGTACTACGTATGTGCCTGGTGCCCTCAGTGGCAAGAAGAGAGTGCCAGATCCTCTGGGTGTAAGCTGCCATGTGGTGCTAGGAACTGAACCCAGGTCCTCTGCAAAAGTAGCAAGTGCTCTTAACTGCTGAGCCATCTCTCCAGACCTGGAACTTTTTTTTTTGTTTTTTTTGTTTTTTTGTTTTATTTTTTGTTTTGTTTTTTCAAGACAGGGTTTCTCGTGTAGCTTAGCGCCTTTCCTGGAACTCACTCTGTAGTCCAGGCTGGCCTCAAACTCACAGAGATCCACCTGCCTCTGCCTCCCGAGTGCTGGGATTAAAGGCGTGTGCCACCACTGCCCGGCTGCCATTCAGCTTTTTGTTAAACCAATCAGGTACCTTAGGCAGGCAAGGTGAAACAGCAACACATCTTTACATAGTTAAACAAATGCAGCATAAACGAAAGCAACACATCTTTACATAGTTAAACAATTATTCTGCAACACAAACAAATGCAACACATCTTTACATAGTTAACAAATACTCTATTTCACAACATTGAACTCCCTATGTACCTGAGGATGACCTAGAACTTCCAATTCTTCAGCCTCCTGCGTCCTAAGATTACAGACATGCACATCATTCCTGCCTTGTACTCCATTTTGTGTGTGTTTGTGTACGATGTGTGTGCATGCATATGTGTGTGTGAGTTTGGGCATTGAGAGTGCCCACGTGCCCGTGGAAGACAGAGGATGACTTACAGGAGTCGGTTCTCCCTCCATCATGTGAACCCAGGGATTGATCTCAGGTCTTCAGGCTTGTTGGTGAGTGTTTTTAGCCACTGAGCCATTTGGCCTGTCCCTGCACTGTTTTAAGCCTTAGTTTTCTCATGTGTTTATTGGGACTCTTCTAGGAGGGTTGAGGACTCACTAAAAAGTGTACCATACACAGGACCTGACTTGAGCCTGGAACACGGTAGCTATTGTTACTGTTTTTATTATCAAGCATCTCTTCCTACAGACAGAGCCCCAAATTGGGTTCTGTCCCCAGAATTACCACAGTTTTATAAATAGAGTGTGTCTGGGCTGTGGTCTGGTTGTGGGCAGGATTCTGGTCTGCCCTCCATGCAGCTGGAAGGAGAGCGCTGAGTTCAAGCTGTAGAGGTCTGGGGGGAATCCATGGGGAAAAAATGGAGGAACCCCTCTTTTATTTTTACCTACTTACTTATTTTCAAGACAATGTCTCACTCTGTAGCACTGGCTGACCTAGAACTCACTCTGTATACCAGGCTGGCCTCCCAAGTGCTGGGATTAAAGGCGTGAGCTACCGTCTAGGCTACTTACTAGTTTGTTGTTGCTGTTGTTTTGGGGACAGAGTTTTCCTACACACAGCTTCCCCACCTTTAAAATTTTTAATGTGGGGTTGGGGATTTAGCTCAGTGGTAGAGCGCTTGCCTAGCAAGCTCAAGGCCCTGGGTTCAGTCCTCAGCTCTGAAAAAAATAAAAATAAATTTTCTTTTTCTTTTTTTGTTTTTTGTTTTTTGTTTTTTGAGACAGGGTTTCTCTGTGTAGCTTTGGAGCCTATCCTGGATCTTGCTCTGTAGACCAGGCTGGCTCAAACTCACAGAAATCCACATGCCTCTGCCTCCCGAGTGCTGGGATTAAAAGTGTGTGCCACCACGGCTGGCTTAAAAAAATTATTTTTAATGTGTACAGGAACATCTTAGCCCCTGGGTCTGGTGGCTCTATCAGGGTAGGGGTCCCTAGAAGATATTCCTGACTTTATATATAAATATACGTGTTAGTTTATTTATTTATTTTATTTTGGTTTTTCAAAACAGGGTTTTTCTGTGCAGCTTTGGGGCCTGTCCTGGATCTCACTCTGTAGTGGCTGGCCTCGAACTCACAGAGATCTGCCTGCCTCTGCCTCCTGAGATTAAAGGCGTGTGCCACCACCATCTGGCCTGTTAGTTTATTTATTTCCGTGTGTATGGGTGTTTTGCCTGCATGTATGTCTGTGCACCATGTGTATGCCTGATGTCCGAGGAGACCAAAAGAGGTCATTGGATCCCCTGGAACCCCTGGAACTGGAGTTACAGACAGTTGTTAGCTACCATGTGAATGCTGGGAATGGATCAAACCCAGGCCCCTCTGCGAGAGCAGCTAATGCTCTTCTTAACCACTTAGCCATCTCTCCAGCCATTCCACTCCACCTTTTTGAGACAAATATTCACTAGCTAGCCCAGGCTGGCCTAGAGGTGGTGATCGTCCAGTCTGTTTTCCAAACGCTGACTGCAAGCCACCACACTCACACCAGAGCTTTATTCCTTAATCTTTTGGGTTTTTTGTTTTGTTTTGCTTTTTTGTGTTTTGTGTTGTTTGTTTTGTTTTGTTTTTGAGACAGGGTCATGTTATGGAGCCCTGAAACTTACTATGTAGACTCGTCGGGCCTCGAACTCATAGAGATATACCTGCTTCTGCCCCTGCCTCTTGGGTGCTGGAATAAAGGGGTGAGCCACCACGAAAGCTATCTATTAGTTTTTCGGTTTTTTGAGACACAGTCATACAGTCCCCTTCCAACAATTTCCCCCGACTCCTGGTCAGCTGTTCCCAAGTCATCGCCACATCTGCCCCACAACTTCTTCCACATCCTAGTGCCTCACAGCAAAGTCCCAGCACAGTACTGGAGATGCTAAGGCAAGTGCTTTAAGGCCTGATCTCACTAAAAGCCTGTCTCACTTTGCTCCGTGTTGGCCCGGAACTCGCAGCAATCCTGCCTTAGCCTCCCCAGTGCTAAGATTATAGGGAGAAGCCCCCATCCCCGAGGAGAGCTTCAATTCTAAGTTAAGAAGCTGCGACTCCGCAAGGAGCAGAGTTGGAAGGAACGTCAGGCAGGGAAGAGCTCCACCGCCACCCTTCCCACCCCGTCGGTCTCCGGGATCCGGGAGCGTCGGGCTCCACCCTCCCGGGTCCTGTACTCACACCTGGTGTTTGGGCGTGCCTCAGTTTCCCAGTAGTAGGGCGTTCCGCCAGCCCCGCTCCTCCCCCTTTTCCTCTTCCTCTTCGGGGCGTCGGTGGCGGCGCCTGGAGCTCCCGGAACTAAAAGCAGACCTCGGGCGGTGGGCCGGCGGGGGCCACGTCAGCGGGTGGCGGGGCTGTGCGGGCACCATGCGGCGGGGCGCGCTCCTGGCCGGTGCCCTGGCTGTGTACGCCGGGTACCTGGCGCTAGGCGCGCTGCTGGTGGCTCAGCTGGAGCGGCCGCACGAAGCCCGGCTGCGGGCAGAGCTGGGGACGCTGCGGGAGCAGCTGCTGCGGCACAGCCCGTGCGTGGCGGCGGCCGCCCTGGACTCCTTCGTGGAGCGGGTGCTGGCGGCGGGACGGCTGGGGCGCGCCGTGCTGGCCAACGCCTCGGGAGCAGCCAACGCTTCGGACCCCGCCTGGGACTTCGCCTCGGCGCTCTTCTTCGCCAGCACTCTGGTCACCACCGTGGGTAAGTGAGTGCCATCCTCCCACTCCCTGGCCAGCGTCCGGGTCCTTCAAGATACACCTTCATCCAAATCGTCTCAGAACAACCCCTCTTCCCAGCACGGAAACAGACCCACACTAGCCTCAGCTGCCCCTTTTGGAGAATCCTCTTGCATGTCCAGCCTTCCTCTCAATAGTAAACACCCCGGTTCCCTCGGAGTAGAGACCGCCTCATAATAACTTCTCTTACAGCATCTGGGTACCCCTCTGGTGCCTTTGGTTTGTTTGATCTTGAGATAGCACCTTCCTTTGGAGCCCGAGCTGGCCTGGAACTTCATCTCCCTGCCTCAGCCTCCTAAAATGCTGAGATAACAGGTGTGGGCCATCAGGCCTGGTTCCACTCCTGTCTTTTTTTTTTTTTCCTCCTCGGGACAGGGTTTCTCTGTGTAGCTTTGGAGCCTGTCCTGGAACTTGCTCCGTAGACCAGGCTGGCCTCAAACTCCCAGAGATCCATCTGCCTCTGCCTCCCAAGTGCTGGGATTAAAGGGGTGCACCACCATCCACTCCTGTCTTAACCCTCTTGGGCTAAGATTATCATCCATAATCCGAAAGGGCCTGAGACCTTCCTTGGGACTCTGACCTCAGAGGCTGTATCCATATCAGGGCTGCACAACCATCTCCTCCAGCCTTGTCTCCTGACTCCAGATAGGTTCTTCCTGGAACAGCCCACTTTAGCTTCCTCCTGGACTTAATTTCCCGGTGAGCACCGAGATGCAGGATGGGGGATTGAACTCAGGCCCTCATGCTAGTCAGTATCTCAGGGCACCGTCACCAGAGGCCTGACCTATAGGGGAGACCTGAGACCTCTTCTGGGATCCCTTCCACTCTGAGCAAGAGCCCCAGACCAAAGGCACCCATCTCTCTCCTGTCCCCATATTTCCCACCCTGACACAGGACTCCACCCATCTTCCCACCTCCCCTGTATTGCCAGGATTTCTCCCAATGGTCTTCCACTCTAACTCAGGATTCCTGGATCAGCAGCTCCAACAGCAGGGGGTAAGAAGGGATCCAGCTCAGAGTGTTCTCCACGGAGACTCATTGGCTGTCCAGCTTGAAGCTCCCCAAGCCGAGACTGCTGCCCCAAACTACCTCCAGCAAAACCTCTAGCCCTTTCCAAAACAAGGACCAGCCATGGGGGTCTCTTTCAACCTATAGGTGAGGAGGTTTGAGACATAGCTCAGCAACAGAACACTTGCCTAGCATGTGTGAGGTACCACAACAACCCAAACACCTAAACCCATTGAATGGGACTCCCATCCCTTCTCCAGACTGTGACCCTGCTCAGTGAGAACAAATCCCCACCCCAGGACACAGTCCAAAGACTTGACTCTCTCCACCTGCTGTCCCCCCCCACCCCACCCCGTGACCAATAGGCTCACTATGGACTCTCCAAGCAGAGGGGATGTCCTGGGGCTGGACCTCCTCCACACCCCACAGCGGAAACTTCCCTTGCCACCCAGCCCTGCCCCAGACTGTTTGAGACAGGCCATTCTCTCTACCTGGGACACTCTATGACAGAGTCCCCCCTCCCCCATGCCCACACCAAGAGCATTCCTCACTCCATCTTTGACACCCAGCAAGGACCTTAGCAAAGTCTACCTCATTCCTTCCTTGGGATACCCTGGGCCCAAGAGTGCTGGCTGCATGAGAGCTCCTCCCCCAATCCAGATGGAACCTGCTGGTGCCTGTTCCTCGGTTCTGGGGCACCAGGACCACAGATCTCCCTTGAACCCAGGGTCCTGGTCTTGCTTTAAGGTTATGGACTCCCCAGTTGGGCGTAGTGGTATACACCTCACCACTTAGGAGGCAGAAGCAAAGCCAGAGAACCAGCCTGGACTACATGAGACCCTGTCTGCACAAAACAGAACAGGGAGAAGACTCCGTGCTTACCAGAACCCCAGCACTCATGTAAACACTGGGCATGGCTGTGCAAGCCTGTAACCCCAGCACTCATGTAAACACTGAGCATGGCTGTGCAAGCCTGTAACCCCAGCACTGGGGCTGAGACAGGCACATTCTCGGGAGCTGCATAGCTGAATCAGCAAGCTTCTGGTTCAGTGAGAGACCCTGCTTGAGGGGACAAGCTAGAGGGGGTGAGCAGGACCTCAGACATCCTCCTCTGGCCCCCATGCCTCTACAGACACACCTGTGCATGTACATTCATACTGCACACAAAATAAAATAAAGAAAAAACACCACCTATACACAAACATTAGCACCGTTCTTTGAGACCCACCCCTACCTGTACCCCCAGCCCTTAAGAACCCTGGGAAGTTCCTCCTGGAAAGTCCCTTCCATCCTCACACCACAGACCTGGGAAACCCCTCAGAGGCCAGGCTCTACTGCTCTACAGCCCCTCCCTGGCCGTGAGGTGACCTCTTTTGAAGACTTCAAATGGGACAGAGGCTGAGCCTCACTCTTAACTGCTTCTCCAGCTGGCTGCATCACACAATCGTGCATGGCTTTTGTCCCCCATTTGGGGCCCTCATTGTGTGTGACCAGCAAACTGAGGTCACTGGCAACAGAGCTGGGTGACTCTTCACAGAAAAGAATGAACCCATCTCCCCTGAGGCTAGCTTTCCCCAAGCTTCCTGAGCCGGCCTGACCTGCTTCTGGACTTCCCTGGGGGGCAGGCACTTGTGTCTCTCTCTTTCTCCTCCCAGATTCTGATTTCTGGCAGGTCACCCCTGGCGCTTGTAGATGGACAAGTGAGGGGAGACAGACATGCCGCAGGCACAGCCTGCCTATCTGTCTATCTATCATCTATCTATCTATCATCTATCTATCTATCTATCTATCATCTATCTATCTATCTATCTATCTATCTATCTATCTATCTATCTATTATCTATGAAGCTAAGGCCCGGAGAAGCTGGCCAACTTGCACGTGGTCACATAGCTAGGGTGGTGTAGAACATGGTGACACACAATTTTTATCCTAGCAGTCCAGAGGCAGAAGCAGTGGGATTGCTATGAGTTCCAGTCCAGCCAAAGCTACATACATAGTCAGACCCTGTCTCAAAACAAATAAACAACATTAGTAAAGGCAGCTGACAAAGAGTCAGGTAGATCTGTTCCCACGATTCCAGCAGCTAGGAAATCTTCTCAGCTGGGGAAATAGCAGGCTGAGTGGTTCCAATCATGAGTTTTGGTGAAATAATCTCTGTCAGGTACATTGGACATGATGGAGCTTGTGGGAAAATCTGATCCCTTCTGCCGCTGTGGGTGGCTCCCCTAGTTTCAAATCTGGAACACGGGGGTCAGTTTTGTTCCCCCCGTGTTCTGCTCTGAGATTTTTTGGTTCCACCAAACTGTGCAGGTCTTTTGAGGTCAGTTTTGAAAGCCAGCCTGTCCAGTTAGTGGGAACAAGGAAGTTCCATTTTAGGGCTCATGCATATAGCTTGGCATGCAAAAAAGGTACTGTGGCCAGGCCTGGTGGTACAGGCATGTAGTCCCAGGTATCAGGAGGCTGATGAAGGAGGATCCCAAAGTCAAGGCCTGCCTGGGAGATTCAGTGGGATCCTGTCTCAAACTAGGAAGTAAAAGAGGTGTGGGGTTCAGCGGAGAGCACCTTGCCTAGGATGCACCAGGGAACCACTTGACTCGGGCAGCGGTAGAGCTGCTTCAGAAAAGGCACCAGGGAGGGACGTGGTGGTGGTGTGGTGGTGGTGGTGGTGGTGGTGGTGTGGTGGTGGTGGTGGGGTGCGTGCGTGCGTGCGTGCGTGCATGCGTGCGTGTGGTAGAGCACTGCCTGGCCTGTGTGAGGCTCCATCCCCAGCACTGGAAAAGGAGGAAGGATGTGTGTGTGTGTGTGTGTGTGTGTGTGTGTGTGTGTGTGTGTGTGTGTGTCTAAAAGAATTTGACACGTGAATGTATTAAAATAGCACAGTGATGGAAAATTACTAAAATGAAACATCAAGATAAGGTCGAGAAGAGCTGGGGGGGCACAAGAAAGAGTGACAGGGAATGAATGCTAATGCTGCCATGGTGGCTGGCAGCAGCTATCTCAGCACTCAGGAGTCTGGTGCCACGGCTGGAGACGGGCTTCAGAGCACTTACTGCTCTTGCAGAGGACTCGGGTTCAGTTCTGAACACCCTCAAGGCAGCTCACCGCTGTCTGTAACTCCAGTCCTGGGGATCTGGCCTCTCTTCTGACCTCCACAGACTCCTGCACACATGTGGTGCACACACATACATTCGGGTACACATATATACACATAAAACTAGAATAAATAAGGTTTTTTTTAAGTCTGAGCAGGACGATTGCTATGAGTTTAAATCCATCCAGAATGACCCGGCCCCCAAAAGACAAATAAAAAATTGTTAAATATATGTTAGAAAAAGTCATAAAACCCATTATTTTATACAATTAATATACCCTAATTGAAAGGTACAATAAGCCCAGATGTGGTAACCCCAGCACTTGAGGAGAATGGCAGAAAGATCATGAGTTTCAGTGCATTGTGGGCACAGCAGCCATATAATAAATAACATACAATAAATAAATGCAATTTAAAAATATGTAATTTAAATTTTATTTGTAATTTGTTAGACTTATTATTTTATGAGGGTTTGCCTGCACGCACATATGTGCATCACATGCATGTTTGGTGCCAGAGGTCAGAAGATGATGGATCCTGTCAGGCTGCATGATGTGAGCCTTTATTTCCAACACTCAGGAAGCAGAGGTAGGCAGATCTCTGTGAGGTTGAGGCCAGGATCCCCTAGAATTGGAGTTACAAATAATTGTGAACCACTGTGTGGGTGCTAAGAATCAGACGGGTCCTTTGCTAGAGCAACAAGTACATTTAGCCACTTAGCCATCCCTCCAGACCCCCAAAATACATGTAATAATAATAATAGGCATAAAAAGGAATTCTTACTAAACTTGGCTTAAGAATGTTCTCTCCACCCGGTCCCTGAAGTCTGGGGACTCACTCACGTTAGACAAGTGCTCCACCACTGGTCCACACCCTACACCAACAAGATTCTTCTTTTTCAAGTCAGGGTCTCTCTATAGCCCATACTGGCCTCAAACTTCCAATCCTTCACCTCAGCTTCCTGTGTCCTGAGCTTCCATGTGGAGCACCATGCCTAGCGTCCCAAGGAGTCTTTCTGCCCGATTGGGATCTATGGTAGAAACCGAGTGTGAGATCACAGGTGAGGACTTCACTAAAATGGCCTCATGGAGAACAGTGCTCAAAAGACTACAGTGGCAGGGGAGGGTGGGTCTGGCCACGTGAGTAGCTGTAGTAGTCATGGACGTCTCCAGCGACTCAGCACGATCATTGAGAGTCAAGCTGCGAGTCCGTACTACCTTGGAAAATGAAACAAATTCAACATCATTAAAACCTCTTCCCTGCCAGGCAGTGTGGTACATACCTTTAATCCCAGCATTCAGGAAGCAGAGGCAGGTGGATTGCTGTAAGTTTGAGGCCAGCCTGTTCTACAAAGCAAGTTCTAGGAGGCAGAAGCAGGTGGATCTCTGTGAGTTCTAGGCCAGCCTGGTCTACAGAGCAAATTCCAAGACAGTCAGGGCTACACAGAGAAACCCTGTCTCAAAACAAAACAAAACAACAACAAAAAACCCTCTTTCAATGGTATATTTCACTTTACTAGAAATCCAGGACTTTTCCTTTCTTCTTTTTGTTTGTTTATTTGTTTGTTTGAGACAGGGTTTCTCTGTGTAGCTCTGGTGGTCTTGGAACGAACTCTGTAGACCAGTCTGAACTCCAGAGATCCACCTGCCTCTGCCTCCTGAGTGCTAGGATTAAAGGCATGCGCCATCACACCTAGCTTGAAGCCCAAGATTTCAAAGACCTGGCACCTGTTGATTTGGGCAGTCTCAGTGTGCTGAAGACAGGAAATAGGTGATGAGAAGCAGTCCTCCAAGGGAAAGATACAAGGTTTACAGTCCTTGTAGCTGGCTGGGGTGTGGCTCAGTGGTAGAGCACCAACCTAGAATCCCCCTGTGAGGGGCTGGGATGTGGCTCAATGGTAGAGCCCCTGCCTAGAATCCCCCAGTGAGGGGCTGGGGTGTGGCTCAGGGGTAGAGCCCCTGCCTAGAATCCCCCAGTGAGGGGCTGGGGTGTGGCTCAGGGGTAGAGCCCCTGCCTAGAATCCCCCAGTGAGGGACTCGGGGCATTGTGTTCAGTGCCTAGAATCCCCTGGCTGCACCAGGCTATGGGTTTTAACCTCCTGTACTAAGGAAGAAAGTTTTTTTTTTTAAGTGAGTAATTCAAAGCGAGTGCGCTGAGGCCCGAGGGTTTATTTATGGGATTTCCCCAGGCTTCAACAGAAACCACAGCTCTTGGATGGAGCTGTAACCAGTGGAGACAGGGAGGATGGGGGAGCAGTGGGGTTGGGAGGAAGTGGGGCCTCAGGTTGTGGAGGTGCCAGTGTGCAGGATTCCTCCTCTCCCCACAGGCTATGGCTACACGACCCCACTGACAGACGCGGGCAAAGCCTTCTCCATCGTCTTTGCGCTCCTGGGCGTGCCCATCACCATGCTACTTCTGACTGCGTCGGCCCAGCGCCTGTCACTGCTGCTCACCCGCGCACCCCTGTCCTGGCTGAGCTTGCGTTGGGGATGGCACCCCCAGCGGGCAGCCCGCTGGCACCTGGTGGCCCTGCTGGTGGTCATAGTGGCAGTCTTCTTCCTGGTGCCAGCTGCGGTCTTCGCCTACCTTGAGGAGGCCTGGAGCTTTCTGGATGCTTTCTACTTCTGCTTCATCTCTCTGTCCACCATCGGCCTGGGGGATTATGTGCCTGGGGAAGCCCCCGGCCAGCCTTACCGGGCCCTCTACAAGGTGCTTGTTACAGGTGAGCTGTATAACTGGCTGGGCATCTGTGGGCTGGCAGAGGGGGGCTCTCAGGTAGAAGTGGCCCTGTCCTAAGGGGTGTTGAAGGGGTCCTAAGAGCCACCCAGCTGTCCCAGGGGAGAGGCACCTATAGGACCACATCCCTGCCCTGGAATCTGAGCCCGAAGCTGGCCCATCACCTTGCCATCTACCTGTCTCCCCCCCTCCCCCATGTCTGCAGCATACCTCTTCCTGGGCCTGGTTGCCATGGTGCTGGTGTTGCAGACTTTCCACCATGTGTCTGACCTCCATGGCCTCACTGAACTCATCTTGCTGCCCAGTCCGGACCCTGCCAACCTCAGCCAGGATGAGGACGACCAGGTGGACATTCTGGACACCCAGACAGATCTGCACCAGCACCTCTCGGCTGGCTCCCACGCTAACTACGCCTCCATCCCCAGGTAGCTGGGAAGGTGCTGTCAGCCTGGACACACCTGGCCTGGGCTTTGGGCCCCACGTGACTAGAGTGGACCAACAGGAATGCCCATACACGCGCTCCTGTCTTTCACAGCACTCCACTGGGAGGGGAGGTGCTCTGTGCCCGTGTCTCGGCTCCTCAGGGAACTGCCACAGTCACTTTCTCCTCTTCCCTTTTCTCTCATGTCTTCTCATACTCTGACGTCATTGGTGAGTGGTGGTTGAATGCGTTTTGTGGTTGCTGTTTTCTCATTCTCACCTCACTTGCTGGTTCTTCTGGGCTCTGGGCCTGGACCTCACTCCAGGCACTGTCCTAGCGGCTCTGTCTTGGCCAAATGATTTCCCCATTCTGAACCTTGAAAGCCTCAGCTGTCTGATGCGAAGACTATTTGAACTCATCCACAGACCCTCTCTTCTGTGCCAGGCACATCGTCTTAGAGTGGCTTGGGCCCTGTTCTTACGGGGCTCACTGGCCAGCGAGGTTGACTCACCTACTTGTCCCTGGACAGTGACAAGCCTCAATAGGCACTGGGAGAGGCAGAGTAGTTAAGACTGAGGAACAGCCCTGAAGTGTCCAGGTGGGCTTCCTGGAAGAAGCGACAAGAACTAACCCAAGACCTGCCAGTCAAGAGAGAAGATTGTCCCTTCTTCTCAGGTGTCTATGGGTCATAGTACCTGTAGGAAGAGCCCTGGGATAGGCCAGCATCTCCTTCAATGGCTTAGCAGGCAAGGAACTAATCTAGGATATGAGCCCAGATCCAAGTGGCATGAGAGATGCCACTTAGCATAGCCCTGTGGAGTGCTGTGTTGTCTGCTTACTGGGCACTAACTGACGGCCCTGGGCTCTGGAGCCAGTCTTCCTGGTGTACCCTGTGACCAGGCCATGTCCTGCCCATGCTTCTCAGCAGTCACTCTACCTCTGGGACCCTGTGTCTGCTAAATGGTGACCATAATAATACTTCTCCAAAAGATGACATCAGCCAGGTGCAGTATTACGTGCCTATAATCTGAGCTGAGGCAGGAGGCTTAAGAGTTCCAGCCCAGAGAGGGGCAGGAAGAGGGAAGAGGGGATCTTGATTGGTATGTAAAATGAATTTAAAAAAATTTCTTAATTTATTAAAAAAAAACAAACCAGTTCCAGCCCAGGCTGGGATACACAGCAGGAGCCAGGTGATAGAAATAATATACATAATAAAGTAATAAAATAATAATAATACATTTATAAGCAAAGGAATATAGTGCCAGGCTAAAGGGACGTGAGAGCAGGCTGCAGAAGGGCACATGTCCTCATGGCTGAGACTTACTGTATTTATACATTTGTATCCCTTAGGAAGGGTTTGGCTGTAAGTAACCACCCCTGACTGGCGCTGTCTGAGATAACCTAATTGTTACATTGTACTTGGACAGACTATGCCTGGGGAGAGCCACCGGCATGATCCTCTCCAGGGCTACGGAGGGCCTGCTGGCCCTGGGTTCAGCCTTTCTCTTCTGCTTCTGTCCACTGAAGGCTCAGCCCCCGCGTGTACTCTCCTCCTGGTGTCTAAATGGCTGCCACAGACCTCGGCGTGGAAACCAGACATGCTCTTTCTAGTGCAAGCCGTAAAAAGTTCAACCGCTGGACTGCGAGTTTAAAGGAAGGCTAGCTCACCAGCTCACCCGCAGATCTTGCTAGAAAGTCACACGAGGAAACGAGGTGTGGTGGCACACACCTGTTGTCCTAGCACTGTGGAGGCAGAGGCTGAAGGCTAGAGAAGCTAGCCAGGGCAACTTAAAAAAAAAAAAAAACAACACCAAACTCCAAAGGGAGCTGGGATGTTCTCGGTGGTGGAGCATGTCTATCCCAGGAGCTAAACAAAACAATTTACCATTATAGGGGCTGGGAAAATGGCTCAGCCAGGCAGGCACAAAGGCCTGAGTTTATCCCCAGCACCTACATAAAAAATGCTAGATGTGGTTATGCAGGACCCTGTAATCCCAGTTCCGGGGGGGTGGGGTGGGGCTAGGGGGTCCTCAGGGCAAATCAGTAGGCTCCAGGCTCTGTGAAAGCTCCAGCATCCAAAATTAGGGTAGAAGCTGGGCCCTGTGACACACCCCTTTAATCCCAGCACTTGGGAGGCAGAAGCTGGGGCATCTCTGTGAGTCTGAGGCCAGCCTGGTCTACATAGTGAGTTCCATGACAGTTAGAGCTTCACAGTGAGACCCTGTCTCCACAACACAACTGAAAAAATAAAAATAGTGTGGAAAATCATTGAGGAAGAAACTGGATATTAAACTCTGGCTTCCACATGCAAACTCACACACACACACACACACACACCCACACACACACATTGAAAAATCTGAGCCAGCCAAATCGCTCCTGGGGGAAAGCACTTGCTGAGTAACCCTGACGGTCAGAGTTAGTGCCATCCTTGGAACCCACAGGGGACGGAGAGAAGCAACTCTCCAAATTGTATTCCTTGTCGTAGAAGGTCCTCTGACCTCCACACAAGTACAGCTGTGTCAGTAGACTTCCCAGGTCTCTCTCTGCGTATCGTCTATGCATGAAGTACATGAAGTCACGTTTGCCATCCATCATCTTCCACCTTGTAGGGGTGCCACTAGACTGGGAAGTGGTGATGGCTACCGGCTCTGGAGGCAAAGCCCTCTGGGTGACGCTGGTGTCCCTGTGTTTCAGTTGTGCCTCAGGCTGCTTGTTTGTGAAATGGGATTTGTACAGCTCCTACCTCACGGACTTGAACAGTCAGCGATTTAATCTCTCCAAATCCCAGAGGGCACCATCTGGGAGTCAGTACCATGCTAACTCTTCCCTCCTTTCTGAATTCTGCTCCTTAATAAGGAAGATCGATTAAGATAGAAATGCTCTAATAACATGTCCTATTGTATTCTTATTAAAATTTTTTATCTATGTGTGTGTATGTGTCTATGTATATCACATGTGTGCAGGTGCCCATGGGGACTAGAAGAGGGTGCCAGATCCCCTGGACCCGGAATTACAGACAATCGTGAGCTGCCTGACATGGGTGTTGGGAATAGAACTCAGGTCCTCTGGAAGAGCAGTACATGCTCTTAACCACTAAGCCATCCTGAAAGTTTTCCTCTAACACGGAGACACATGCATACACATACATTCACACCAAGTCAATAAATAAATGTAATTACTTAAAAATTTCATTTAGGTCTGAGGGCTTGCTTCAGCAGAATAGCACTTGCCCAGCATGCACAGAGTCCTGGGTTCAATTCTCAGTATGGCAAAACAAATAAATTCATGATCCAAGTTGGAATCAGCAAGTTGAGGCAGGAGGATTGCTATGGGTTTGAAGCCAGTCTAGATCTAGAGTAAGACCAGTCTCAGAAGTCCTCATAATTGGGTTGGGGATTTAGCTCAGTGGTAGAATGCTTGCCTAGAAAGAGCAAGGCCCTGGGTTCAGTCCTCAGTTCCAAGAAAAAAAAAAAAAGTCCTCATAAGCCAAATGTGGTGGTACAGGCCTGTCTTCCCAGCACTCTGGAGGCAGAGACAGGAGGATTGGGAGTTCAAACCTATCTTTAGGTACATGGTGAGTTCTAGTCCAGCCTTAGATACATTAAGACCCTGTCTCAAACAACAGAAAACTAGGGCTGGAGAGCAATGGCTCAAGGTTGAGTGTGGACTGTTGCTGGTCCTAATATCCAAGTGGCAGAGGCAGGCAGTCTCTGAGTTTGAGGCTATCCTGGTCTATATCGCCAGTTCCAGGCCAGCCAGTGTCTGAGTAAAAGAGATTGGGAAGGCGGAGAAGAAACAGAAAAGCACAGAACAAAACCCAGATACATTGTCTGAAAGTTACTTTCCTTAAAAAAGTTAAACCAGAGGGACCTACAGCTAAAACTGACCAGGTTGGAGGTTTGGCTATTGTCTCCCTCTCCTGATTATTCAGAATACTAGATAAACAATTTGGTGGTGTAGAATTTCAACCTGAGTAATTCTGTCTGTTGGCCAGTGGCCATGCCTCCCTCTTCAGGTCTGGGGTATTTTGTTGTTGTTTTGAGACAGGGTCTCACCATAAAGCTCTGGCTGGCCTGGCACTTGCTATGTAGACCTGGGAATGAAGGTGCCATTGAGATCATAGTGCCTCCTTGTCGTGACCTCCGGAAGGATTTAGGAGAGACCTAAGAGTGTGATGCAGAATTGGGCACACTCTCAAGGGTTAAGTGGACAGCGACCACAGAGACCATTGTAGATCGAAGTTCTGGGCAGGCTTCATGCTAGTTCTAAATCTCTTGCCAGCTGTAGCAGCGTATGTTGGCAGGATATGCTGAAGACTCAGAGATTAGGTGTTATGAGTTCAAGGCCAGGTTGGGCTATGCCTATGAGCCAAGGAGATAAGCTCAGTGGTTAGAAGCGCTTGCCACTCAAGCCTGAGGACCTGAGTTTAATCCTCAGGGCCCATGGGAAAAGCCAGCTGGATGTAGCAGCTCTTATCTGTAATCCCAGCACTTTTGAAACATGATGGGAGGCGGACCCTGGAGAACTGACTGGAAGCTCAGGCCACACAATCAGCTTTCTTTTTTTTTTTTTTTTTTTTTTTTTTTTAGATTTAGCTATTTATTATAAGAGCCAGAGATGGTTGAGAGCCACCATGTGGTTGCTGGGAGTTGAACTCAGGACCTCTGGAAGAACAGTCAGTGCTCTGAAGCACTGAGCCATCTCTCCAGCTCGAGACAGGGTCTCTTGTAGCCCAGTCTGGCCCTGACCTTCCGGTGTTGCCATGGAGGATCTTCAACTTCTGATCCTCTTGCCTCTACCTCCGAAGTGTTGGGACTATGAGTGTTCACCGGCTTGCATGCCTAGTTAAGCAAAGACTCTAGCAACTGCTCCAGCCCCCAGCCTTTTGTTTTTTTCTTTTCTTTCTTTTTTTCTTTTCTGCTTCTCCTCCCACCTCCCCTCCCCTTCTTTCTTCAAGGTTTCATTGAAGACAAGGTTTCACTGGACAGAAGACTTGGCTGACTCGGAACTAGCTATGTAGACTAGGCGGGCCTTGAACTCACAGCCTCCACTCCTGAGCGATGAGATTAAAGGCATGCGCCACCATACTGGATCCTTAAGCAGTAATTTTTTTTTAATTAAAACAATTATTTATGTGTATGAATGTGCACCATTTGAGTGCCTGGGAAGATTGTTATCCAGTTCACAATGTAGCAGATCAGAGACGTGACTTAGGTCCCATTCTTCTGAACAGTAATTAAAGTCTTGCCTGTTAGTCATTTGTTTTACGGGCTGTTGACTAGAGGGTCCCAACTCTTAAGTAGGCTCATTTTAAACTAGCTGCCTAATTTAATTATTGGAACCCACTTCCAGATCACAGCTCATTCTCCCAAAGGTTCTGCAAAGTCTTTTTTCTCAGGAGGATTTTTGATCTAGAGGTCAAGTAGGCACAATGTTACTGCTAGAACAACCATTATACATTTCTCGGTGGCTTTCTTAGCACAGAGCTACCTTTCCAGTACCTCTGCCTGCCACACACCTGGGAGCCGGGGTTGCACAAGGCCAGCGCTCAAGCTCTAGGCGCCTGTTGGGAATGCGTGTTACTATGGAAACACGCACGCCACATAGGCGTGCCTCGCGCAAGGTGGAAGTCCGAGCGGCCATTTTAAGAGCTGGCAAGAGGGGTGGAACAAGCAACGGTTGACCGGTTTTAACCAAGTGACTGGTACAGCGGGGCGGTGCCATCCTAGGGGATGAGGGGGGCGGGAGGGAATTAAGAAGGGGAGGGCAGGGGTGGGGAGGCAAGGCAAGGCAAGGCTCGCGGAGCATCCAGCACAGGGACCAGGCAAAGAAAGCGTGGCAAAGGCGGGGCGGCGGCCAACGTCGTTTAGACCTGCAGCCTCCGACGAGTGTGGGCGTGGCTAGAGGAGGCGGGGCATAGAACCGGTGGACGTTCAGGGCATGGACAGGACAGATGAGAAAAGGTGGAGGGAAAAGGTGTCGGTGGGGACAGTGAGGATCGCGAAGTCAGCGTGGGTGTGGGGCGACGGGAGGTCCTGCGGCCAGAGGACGGTCTATGACAAGGAGAGTCTCCGAAATCACGAGCAAAGTCGAGGCGAAGACAAATACTGGGGCAAGGAAAGAGTTATTTACGAGAGGGAGCACGGCGAACAGAGAGCCAAACGGGAGGACCGGGACGAGGAGCGACCACCTGGCGAAGACAGATCCCGGGGCGAGGGAAGGTCACCCGGAGAAGAGCGATCCCGGGGCGAGGGGAGATCTCGGGAAGCAGAGCGGCCCCGCGACCAGGAAAGGTTCCCTAAGGAGAAGGCGCAGGCCCAGGAGAGGGCTGGCGCGGAGGGGCAGGCGGGTGCCGAGGAGAAACCACCGGGGCGGGAGAGGGAGAGGGGTCGGGGACCGGAGCAGAAGCAGGAGGGCCAGGTTGCCCAGGACCCAGGGAGGGGAAGAAGCCAGGACCTAGGGCGTGGCCAGGAGAGAAAGGGGAGCGAGGAGCCGACCTCCTGCCAGACTCAGTGCCCGATCCACAGCAAGGGGCGTGGCCAGGAGAGAAAGTCCATAGACGAGCCAATCTCCGGCCAGACTCAACGCCAGAGCCAAAGCAAGGGGCGTGGCCAGGAGGGAAAGTCCAGCGAAGAGCCAATCTCCGGCCAGACTCAACGCCAGAGCCAAAGCAAGGGGCGTGGCCAGGAGGGAAAGTCCAGCGAAGAGCCAATCTCCGGCCAGACTCAACGCCAGAGCCAAAGCAAGGGGCGTGGCCAGGAGGGAAAGTCCAGCGAAGAGCCAATCTCCGGCCAGACTCAACGCCAGAGCCAAAGCAAGGGGCGTGGCCAGGAGAGAAAGTCCATAGACGAGCCAATCTCCAGCCAGACTCAACGCCAGAGCCAAAGCAAGGGGCGTGGCCAGGAGGGAAAGTCCAGCGAAGAGCCAATCTCCGGCCAGACTCGGCGCCAGAGTCAGGGCAGGGGGCGTAGCCAGGAGGGAAAGTCCCGCGAAAAGTCGATCTCCGGCCAGACTCGGCGCCAGAGCCGCAGCAAGGGGCGTAGCCAGGAGGGAAAGTCCCGCGAAAAGTCCATCTCCGGCCAGACTCGGCGCCAGAGCCGCAGCAAGGGGCGTAGCCAGGAGAGAAAGTCCCGCGAAAAGCCGATCTCCGGCCAGACTCGGCGCCGGAGTCAGGGCAGGGGGCGCAGCGTGGACGGAGGTGTGGGCAAAGACTCACAGACTGACAAGACCAAGACTAGAAGCCGGCTCTTGAGCAGGGCAGGAGAGAAGAGAAAGGGGCGTGGCGAAGAGCGGTGTGAGGGCGGGACAGCCTGTGAGGGCGGAGCCAAGTCCAGGAACAAGTCGGTGATCGCCGAGGGGCATAAGGGTGGGGAAAAGAAGGGCAAGGCAAGAAACAAAAAGAGAGAATTGGCCAAGAGTAGAGTCGGAGTTCTAAGAGCTGGCATAGAGAAGAGCAAGGGTAGGGCAAGGAGAGAGAGAGCGACTGGCAAGCGGGGTGAAAAGAGCCGCGAGGCCAGAAGTAAGAGTAGGGGCGGGGCCGAGAGCAAGAGCAGGGGCGTGGCGAGGAGTATTAGTAGGGGAGGGGCTGAGAGTAAGAGAACTGGCAGGACCAAGAGTATTAGTAGGGGCGAGGCCGAGAGTAAGAGTAAGGGCGTGGCCAGGAGTAAGAACAGGGCTAGGGTTGAGAGTACGCGCAGGAGTAGAGGCAGGAACGGGGCGGGGGCTCGAAGCCTGATCAAAAGTGGAGCCGGGAAGAGGGGCGGGAAGAAAGGCAAGAACTGAGCGGTTTCCCAGAGATCAGCCCCAGCGAGCAGACTTGCAAGTGAGTATTGACCCCCCACATTCCCCAGGTTCTAGCTGCATGGTGTGCTGGCCAGTCATGTGCCCTGTCAGCCCTGTGTGGCCAAGAAAACCAAATCTATGGGCGTTCTGGGTACCGCTGCTAGTGCTACTGCTGTCGTGGAAGTCGTGGGCAGAAAAACATTTCCAAAACTGCCGCTGGCTTGTTGTCCTGAACAAGTTCGAGAGAGTGGGCGCACTCCTCTCTAAGGATCGATTTATGGATCAAGAACCCATGGATACAGTGACGGAGGTGTTCCAAAAGTTGGTAGACTCGCCAATCGACCCGCGGGAGGTGAGGGAACTGGGGTCAAGAGTATCAAAGGGATCTTCGGTCAGTAAATATCAGAGGGATCCTGAGTCAGTACACCTCTTGACTGGATATTTCGCCCACCTTTCCTTACAGAAATATATGGGCTTTCCTTACTACCTGAAAGTCAGCTTCTCCTGTATGGGAAAGGTGAGAGTTTACAGTGTGAGTGGGGCGATTTCAGTAAGTCTCCGATTCCCCGTTATTTTCAGTAATGTTTTCCCAAACACTTTAAAAGTAGACTCCACCAACCCGGAAGGTCTTAAGGATTCATTCGTTCTCCCACTCGGCAGAGAGAGCTAACTGGGGATGGTGGGGGCTATAACAAAGCCCACCTCCAGTGACACACCTCCTCCAAGAAGGTCATACCTAATCCTTCTCAAACAGGCCCACAGCTAGGGACCAAGCATTCAAACATATGAACCTATGGGGCTACTCTCAGTCAAATAATCACATCAACCGTCATTATTTTTGCCCTAAACACTCTTATTATCCCTCACCCAACAAAAACCCTGTGTCTATTAACAGTTATCTTTAAAAAAAAATATTTATTGGGGCTGGAGAGATGGCTCAGCAGTTAAGAGCACTGACTGCTTTTTGAGAGGTCCTGAGTTTAATTCCCAGCAACCACATGGTGACTCACAACCATTTACAATGGGATCTGATGCCCTCTTCTGTCATGCAGGCAAATATACAGACAGAACACTGTATACATAGAAGTCTTAAGAAAAAAAGAATTAAAGAGATAAACAACATTGTTAACTTTTTTCAAAAATTTATTTTATTTTTAATTATGTGTATATAGTGGGTATATGCATGTGCATGCAATTGCCTATGGAGGTCATAAGAGGGTGATGGATGCCTGGAATCGGTGTTACAGGCCATTGTGGCTGGGAACCATACTTTTTTGATTGTCCAGAAGAACAGTATACACTCTTCACCATTAAGCCATCTCTCCAGCCCCACTTTCTTTCTTTCTTTCTTTCTTTCTTTCTTTTTTTTTTTGAGACAGGGTTTCTCTGTATAGTTTTGGTACCTGTCCTGGATCTCACTGTGTAGACCAAGCTGGCCTCGAACTCACAGAGATCCACCTGCCTCTGCCTCCCAAGTACTGGAATTAAAGGCGTGCACCACCACCGCCCAGCCCCACTTTCTTTCTTTCATGATACAGGATAGTGTTACAAAACCCAGGCTGGCCTTGAACTCACAGCAACCCTTGTGCCTCTGCCTCTCAAGTACTAGTATTATAGATGTGAGCCACCATGCCAACCAGACTTTGCCCTTTTTGGGTTTTGTTTGTTTGTTTGAGACAGGGTCTTTCTATATAGCCCTAGCTGTCCTGGAACTCACAGAGATCTGTCTACCTCTGCTTCCCAAGTACTAGGATCAGAGGTGGCACACGCCTTCCTTTGTTCTTTTTTTTTTTCCCCAGACAGGGTTTTTTGGAGTAGCCCTGGCTGTTCTGCAACTTGCTCTGTAGACCAAGCTGGCCTTGGACTCAGAGATCCTCCTGCCTCTGCCTCCTGAGTGCTGAGATTAAAGGTGTGCACCACAACTGCCCCGCCTTTGCTCATTTTAAAATGAAGGGTTTTTTGCCTTTTCGTTGTTGACTTGTAAAAATTGCATATATATTTGGGATGGTGGTCGTTTAAAACAGTATGTACTATCCTGTGAGTTCATTCTCTCTTTGGAGAAAGGGTCTAGGGTCTTGTTATGTAGACCAGGCTGCTCTTGAAGTCATAGAAATCTACCTGCTTCTGCTTCCCAAGTGCTAGAACTCCATTTTGTTGGTGGTTTTTGTTTTTTTGTTTTTTAAGATTTATTTTATGTGAGCACTCTATCTGCATATATAACTTTATGCCAGAAGAGGGCATAAAATCCCACTATAAATGGTTTTGATCTCAGGACCTCTGGAAGAGCAGCCAGTGTTCTTAACAGCAGAGCTATCTCTCCAACCCTTGTTAGTGGGTTTTTTTTCTTCTGTTTTTTTGAGACAAGGTTTCCCTTGTAGCTTTGCGCCTTTCCTGGAACTCACTTTGTAGACCAGCCTGGCCTCGAACTCATAGAGATCCGCCTGCCTCTGCCTCCCGAGTGCTGGTGTTAAAGGCGTGGGCCACCACCGCCCGGCTCCTTGTTAGTGTTTTTAAGACAAGGTCCCGTAAAGCCCAGGCTGACTGACTTGACGTGTAGCAGAGGATAGCCTCGCACTTTTGCTGGTCTTGCCTCCACCATTCCATGGGAATTTCAAGTGTGTTCCACCATATTTGGTTTCATTAGCTGTTGCAAATAGAGCCTAGGGCCTCATGTATACTAGGGAAGCATTCTAACACCTGAGCTACGTACCAGTTCCAGAACGTCTGTGTTTTAAAAGATATCATCAAGAAAATGAAAACGGGCTGGAGAGATGGCTCAGAGGTTAAGAGCAGTGGGCTGCTCTTCTAGAGGTCCTGAGTTCAATTCCCAGCAACCACATGGTGGCTCACAGCCATCAATAATGGAATCTGATGCTGTCTTCCAGCATGCAGGTGTATATGCAAATAAATCTTAAACAAAAAAAAAAAAGAAAAAGAAAATGAAAACAGGGCTGGAGAGATGGCTTATTGGCTCAGTACTTGTTACTCTTGCAGAGGACCAGAGTTTGATTCCTAACACCCATTTAGTGGCTCACAACCATACATAACGCCAGTTCTAAGGGATCCATCAGGCATGCATGTGGGATACATACATGCATGCAGACAAAACATTTATGCACATTAAGTAAAATAAATAAATCTAAAAAGAGAAAGAAGTGAAAAGAAGTAGTGGTGCCTGTCTCTAATTACAGCACTAAGGAGGCTAGCTTGGGCTGTGTAGGAAGGTCCTTTCTCAAAACACTAACAAAAAGTTTTAAGTTTATTGAGATATAATTCACTCACCATAAAATACCACAAAAATATTTATTAATTTGCTTTTAGAAATAAAAGTGGGTTGAATATACTATAAGGAGCCGTGGGCTGGGCAGTCACACAAGTCACATGTGCTTATTTTTGTGTTTGTCTGAAATAGAGTCTTATGTGTCCCAGGCTGTCCTTGAACTCAGGATCTTTGTCTTGCCTCCTTCTCCCAAGGACTGGCAGTCTATGTATGTACAACCATGCCCAGCTTTTTTGTTTGTTTGTTTGTTTGTTTGTTTTGTTTTCTGTTGTTGTTGTTCTGTTTTGTTTTTAAGGTTCTCGAGACAGGGTTTGTTTCTTTGTGTGTAGCTCTGGCTGTCCTGGAACTTTCTCTGTAGACCAAACTGGCCTCAAACTCAGAGATCCTCCTGCCTCTGCCTCCCCAGTGCTGGGATTAAAGGTGTGGGATTAAAAGGTTGTTTTTGTGTCTTTTAGACAAGGTCTTACTATGGAGCCCTGGCTGGCCTAGAACTCACTACTTAGATCAGGCTGGCCTTGAGCTTGTATTGATTCTTCTGTTTCTGTTATTTGAGTGTTGGAATGACAGATATGAGTCATTACCCTCCACTCAAAAGCTTTTTGCTTTTTAAAACTTTTATTTTAGTGTATGGGTGTTTTGACTGCATGTGTGTCTGTATATCAGATGCATGCCTGGTGCTTACAGATTCCAAAAGAGGGTATTGGGGAGAGAGACAGACAGACAGAGACAGAGACAGAGAATATAAACCCATGGAAATAGATACACAGTCCTTATTCACCTAGGACTCGCTTAGAGACCAGGCTGACCTCAAACTTGTGGTGATATCCCGCTTCAGCCTCCTGCGGGGGTGAGTGGTGAGCGATACTACACCTGGCATCTAGACTTTTCTTTTTCTGCGACACTCTCACTTTATAGCCCAGGCTGACTTCCAACTCCCTAAGTGTTGTCGTGTACCCCCCGCCCCGTGGGCTAGCCTTGAACTAGAGAGCCTGCCGTTTCCACCTCCGGAGTGCTGGGAACAAGCACAGCCATCTTCTCTTATTCTCCCATGGTGGAAGGTCTGCCATCCCTGCTCAGCTCAGACAGGGGGCTCCAGACGGATGGATCCCCAGACTAAGGCCTGCCCTTTCATCCTCAGAATGACGAGGAGCTGGTCCGAAAGGGCCACCTCATGGGACTGAGACCCGTGATCCTGATCAGCTACAAGTACCCAGTCAATTTCTATCGCTGGAAGATTGAAAATCTGCAGATTCAGATGGAGGCTGCCCCATTGCGCAGCGCAGGTGGGCCAGACCGCCGGTGGTGGTGGTGAGTGGAGATGGGATGTCTGGGAGCGCTCTGAGGCCTGTAGGGGCTTCTGGCAGTCTCTAGTGCCTCAGTGCCCCATCCAACCAGCAGGGTTCTGCATAGCAGAGGTCATGTGCGCCTTGAACTGGTACGTACCCATGCCCACCAAAAACGGCAGCGTGGTCATGAGCGTGGACATCCGCAGCAATGGCTTGGGGCCCTACATTCCCCCTAGAAGGTATTCAAGCCCAGGGCACACTCAGGAATGCCAGTCCCCAGAATCCCAATGAAAGCAGGGGAGGCAAAAGGGAGGAGCGGGGAAGGTGGCTGTGGGTTGTGAAGTACCCCGACATGGCATTCCTCACTGGAGCCTGCTTGCAGGTTCTATGTGAATATTAATGGCTACATGAAGAGAGATGCCAGCGGTAACCCCATCTTCACCATAGGATATGAGGTGGCGTGTACCCCCTTTTTGGTTCCTTTTTCAGAGTGACTCTGGAAGGGAGGGGTGCACGCGTGTGCGTGCACACACACACACACACACACACACACACACACACACACACACACATACACCCTCCCCAGGTGCTGGGGACTGAGCAGAGCCTCATGCTCTCCAGGTAAACACAATCACGGGGTGATAGCAGGTTCCCGATGTGTCATTGGATTTTATGTCACTTTTTTTCATTACATTGTTATTTTGAACTTAAGGAGCCGTTACCTGCCAGGTCACCTCACCAGCCCCTCTGTAATGGCCTATGGAAACAGGGTCTCAATATAACCCACAGTGGTATCAAACTCATTATGCAGACCAGGCAAGCTTTGTGAAATTCCTGCTTCAGCCTCCCAAGGGCTAGAATCAAAGATGTGAGGCACCAAGCCTGGCCTTAGATACTCATGTTAGCTTTGCTGTTACATTCATCTATTTTGTGGTGGAGACACACATGTGGCATATATGTGGGAGTCAGAAGACAACTTTCAGGAGCTGAATCTCTCCTTCCATCATTCTGACGTTGGGGCTTGAACTCAGGTCCTTGTACATGCGAGACCAGCAACTTGACCACTGAGCTAAATCCCAGCCTCCACCCATGTTCTGAGTTCACTACGTGTTCAGCGGCAAATATGTCCTCATCATGAGGATGTAGCTCAGAGTATTTGCTAGTATTGCTACGGTTCAATGCACCTCACCTCAGAAAAGGGGGATGAAAGAAAGGAAAGGCATAAGGAGACAGCGGGTGCAAAGCCCCTGGGGTGAGCTTGAAAGGAAGAGGCCCCTGATGGGACTGGGCTAGGGCGAGCTTAGGGAGGTGGCCCCAAACTGCAGAGGTTTGTAGTCGGGGTGAGGACTTGGGCTTGTGGCTGAGATGGAGGGGCAGGGGAGGGCTGAATGGCATTTCTGCTCCTCTGACAGACCTTTGCTCTGAAGAGTGATCACTTTAAGCGTTCAAAATCGAGACCCCTGTGGTACACGCAGAACCATTCACCTGTGCTCATCCTCGGGGGCATTGAAGATGAGAAGACCATCTTGCTTTCAGATACTAATTTCCAAGACTTTTCTCTCGTGGAGGTGAGTGATGCCTGCAGACGGTAGGTTTGGGCTTCTGGACAGTGCTGGCTCTTAGGCCCCGAATGGAGTCTGGGGCTACAGAATGGGACCCCAAAGATAAGCCAGTCTCTAGCAAAGGGTAATGAAGAAAAATTTTACTGCTAGGAAACAGGTTCAAATCTTTAAGAAAAGAAAAAAAAATAAATTATTAATTTATTTATTTTTTCTATTATCAGCTTGATACAGTATAAATTCTTATCCTAATAGTGAAATGTTTCATTGAGGTTTGCCCAGTAATTGAGTAAAACCATTAACTTATTATAAGCCACAGTCATCCTAGGGTCCCCCCGCTATATAGCCTCCCTGGTTCTGTGGGTTGCAGTCTGATTGTTCTTTGCTTTATATCTAGAATCCACTTATGAGTGAGTACATACCATGTTTGTCCTTCTGGGTTTGGGTTACCTCACTCAGGATGATATTTTCTAGTTCCATCCATTTGCCTGCAAATTTCATGATGTCATTGTTTTTCTCTGCTGAGTAGTACTCCATTGTGTATATGTACCACATTTTCTTAATCCATTCTTCAGTTGACGGGCATCTAGGTTGTTTCCAGGTTCTGGCTATTACAAATAGTGCTGCTATGAACATAGTTGAGCATGTATCTTTGTGGTATGATTGATCATTCCTTGGGTATATGCCCAAGAGTGGTACGGCTGGGTCGTGAGGTAGACCGGTTCCCAGTTTTCTGAGAAACCGCCATACTGATTTCCACATTTTTTAAATTTTTATTTATTATTATTTTTTTCTGTTATCAACTTGATACAATACAAATTTTTATCCTAATAGTGAAATGTTTCACTGAGGCTTGCCCAGTGATTGAGTAAAACCAAAACTTATTATAAGCCACAGTCATCCTAGGGTCCCCCTGCTATGTAGCCTTCTGGTTCTGAAAACCCAGTTTTTTAAAATGTGCATGTATCTGCGTGAGTGAGTACTCCAGACCACAAGAGGGAGCTGGATCTCCTGGAGCCCAAGTCACAGGTGCTTGCAAACCACCCAGTGTGGGTCCTGGAAATGGAACTCAAGTCCTCTGCAAGAACAGTACAAACTCTCAACCACTGAGCCACATCTCAAGCTCTAGGTTCAAATTCGTGTGTGTGTGTGTGTGTGTGTGTGTGTGTGTGTGTGTGTGTGTGTGTATGTGTGTGTATGTGTGTGTGTGTGTAGGACTGAATCCAGCACCTGTCACATGCCTGGCAAGCAGACTCCTGCCGAGTGACGTCCAGCCTCTCCCGGGATATCCTGGGCAAGTGCTGCCCTTCGAGCCACAGCCCAGCCTCTTGTTTTACTTCTTGCTTTGTTTGTGTTTGTGTTTCTGAGACAAAGTCTCACTCTGCAGCTCTGACTGGCCTCTGCCTCCTAAGCATTGCCTCTTTATTCCTTTTCCTTTTCTTTTATTCCCCCCTCTGTTTGAGGTGAGGTGACCTGACCATGCTCCTCTGGAAGAGCAGTGAGCGCTCTTCATTGCTGAGCCATCGCTCCAGCCTCAACTTCTTTCAATATAAAATAGTAATCATGGTGATGCTCTTTTCCTGGTCTGGCCTGACTGGTTTTTTTGAGTCAGGGTCTCAGGCACCACAGACTGGCCTTACAATTAGTTTGTAGCTAAGCGGGAGAATCAGGTCCCAGCACCCACATCAGGCAGCTTACAACCACCTGTAACTCAAGCTCCAGAGGGACCCAGTGCCTCTGGCCTCCACAGGCACTGCACTCACATACAAATCAACTCTCTGTCCTTCCCTCCTCCGTCCCTCTCTCTAACACACACACACACACACACACACACACACACACACACACACACACACACACAATTTAAAATAATGAAATATATTTTTAAAGTTGTTGGCCAATTACATTTCTGTTCTGTTTTATTTTGGTAAGAAGGGGTCCTTATGCCAGGTGGTGGTGGCGCCCACCTTTAATCCCAGCACTCTGGAGGGAGACAAGCATTCAAGACCAGCCTGGTCTACAGAGCTGGTTCTAGGACAGCCAAGGCTACACAGAGAAACCTTGTCTTGAAAAACTACCACCAACAACAAAAATACAAGGTTTTATTATTTAACCCTGACTGACTTAGAACTTGATATTTAGACGAGACTGACCTGGAAGTCATGGATATCACCTGCCCTAGGCACCAGGCACACACGTGGTGCATAGACTTACATGCAGGCAAACCACCTATACACATAAAAAATGAAACATATATATGCAGAGAGAGAGACAGAGAGAGAGAGTGAGAGAGAGAGAGAAGCAGGGGGAGAGAGAGAGGCAGGAGAGAGAGAGAGAGAGAGAGAGAGAGAGAGAGAGAGAGAGAGAGAGAACCAGGAATAGTGACATACACTTTTTTTTTTGACATACACCTTTAATCCCAGCACTCAAGAGGCAGAGGCAGGGGGATCTCTGTGAGTCTGAGACCAGCCTGATCTACAAAGTGAGTTGCAGGCTGGCCAAGGCAACAGAGCGACACTCTTTCTAAAACACACATGGGGCTGGAAAGATGGCTCAGCAGTTAAGTGTACTGATCTACCCACAGAGGTCAGAAGAGGGCACCGGATTCCCTGGAACTGGAGTTATAGATGGTTGTGAGGTCCCAGGTGGTGCTGGGAATTGAATCTGGGTCCTCTGAAAGAACAGCTAGTACTCTTTTTGTGTGTGTGTTTTGCAGTCTTTTTTTTTTTAAATTAGTTACATTAATTGTATTGATTTATTACATTCATGATATTATATCCTGATACTACTGTCCATTTGTGGGGCTTTTCCATCACACAAAACAGAGATTCTGTACTTAGGAAATCATTGCTCTATATTCCTTTCTTCTCCATCTTGAGATAACGTCTAATCTTTCTGTCTCTGTGAATTTGTATACATGTAATACAATTCTATAGTATTTGTCCTTTTTTTACATGTAAAAACATTTTATGTACAACTGCAAGAGAAATAATACACAGATAGCTTGAACATAAAAACAGGTTATAATTCAAAAATCCAGGGTTATTTGAAACTGGAAAATATTTTCTCTGTAGAAAATAGTAAAAATGATAACATTTCCCAATAAGCCCTTTTAAGCCAAATAATAGCAGCTAGTACTCTTAACCACTAAGCTGTCTCTCTGGACTCAACATGGGGTATTTTCTATCCATATGAGCAGAACTCTGACAGAGGCACAGGGATTGTGTGAATACATTGTACACTGCTTAACTCCAGGTTGTGTACCATACTCAAACTGGCCATACTGGGGGAGTGTGGCTATCTAAGCAGTTAGAACAGTAGCTTTTGCCAGGTGGTGGTAGTGAATGCCTTTTATCCCAGCACATGGGAGGCAGAGGCAGGTGGATCTCTGTGAGTTCTAGGCCAGTCTGGTCTACAGAGCGAATTCCAATACAGCCAGAGCTACACAGAGAGACCATGTCTTTCTTTGTACCACCAGCCAGCTCTCAAATAATAACATGAAGACTTATTATTAATAATTATGAAAGCTTGGCCTTAGCTGAGGCTTTTTCCTAACTAGTTCTTATAACTCAAATTATCCCATATTTTTTAATTTGTGTCCTGCCACATGACTTGTTACCTCTCTTCTATACTTTACCTCCTGCTTCCTCTCTGTGTCTCCCTGGCAAATTCAGCCTTTCTTCTTCCCAGAGTTCTCTCTCTGCCAGGAAGTCCCGCCTATACTCTCCTCCCTAACTATTGGATGTTCAGTTTTTTGTTACACCAATCACAGCAACACATCTTCACACAGTGTACAAATATCCCACAACACGTCTCAGAAAAAAAAAAAATAAGGACAGTTTACCCCAGGCAGGACTTGGAGGCCGAGGCCTCAAGCACTTGCTCACCTGGTCTTTGCTCTCCTGCAGCTGAGCATTGACAGTTGCTGGGTCGGCTCCTACTACTGTCCCATACTTGACTTCTCAGCCACCATCCATGACGCCATTTCTACGGAAAGCACGCTCTTCATCCGGCAGAACCAGCTTGTCTACTATTTCACAGGCAGCTACTCTGCACTCTTCGACAGCAGCTACAGTAGCAGTGAGAAGGCTGGGCTGGGGGGTGCAGGGGTGGGCGAGCTGTGGGCGTTAGAGAAACAAAACTAAGAAGTCCAGGCATCACCGTGCTATACACCTGTCATCCCAACACTTGGGACACAGAGGCAAGGGGATCGTGGTCAGCCTCAGCTATATAGCAAGTTTGTGTGGATCTAGGTACATGAGACACATGGGGGGATGCTGCACACCTCTGTAATCCTAGCACTTGAGAATCTCTAGTTTAGGGCAACCCTGGGCTACATATGAGATTCCAGAAAGCTTGAAGAACTTAGTGAGAACTGCCTCACCCCCATCCCTCTGAAAAACAGACAAGAAAAGTGGGTCTTCCTGTTTATTGGCATACCTGAATGAGAAACCCATGGGCCATCTTGGCTTCAGGCATAGGTGTATCTATCCAGTGACTCACTGTAATTCTTGGTCTCCGTGCTGACTCATGGTGATTCTTGCCCAGCAACTGTCCATTCCTCTGTCCCTAAGTCTCCCCAGGGAACCTTTTTGTTAGTGGCTGCAAGCTGGAAGGGTCTCTTAGTTGCCTCACTCTGTCCAAAACTCAGGTCAGAACCAGGGGAGCACAAGAGAAGTGTGAACCCACCTAGACCTCACAGGCCGCCTGTGTGATGGCACATACCTGACATACACACCAGCATTTGGGAAGCTGCTGCAGGAAGCTGGACAGTTTGAGATCAGCCTGGGCTACATAGGAAGTTTGAGGTCAGCTAGGGTTACAGGGTAAGACCCTGTCTCATAAAACCAAAGCCAGTCATAACAGACTAGAACTCAGAGGTAAGGGATGGGGGGGGTCACAGAAATGACAAGCGTTGCTCTAGAGTCCCCCCAATACCACACTGCAATGTTGCTCCAGGCTAAGAGGACAGGTAACAGGTTTGTAAGATTAGAAGGAAGGAGATCTGGGGTCCAGGGACCAGCCTGACCACCTGGTTTTGAGTCCGCATGCTTGCCCCCCTAGGCAGCTGGGTTCGTGTCCTGGCTAGCGAGTGCATCAAGAAGCTGTGCCCAGTGTTCGTCGATGGCAATGGCTCTGAGTACATCCTAGCCCTCACCACTGGCAAGAATGAAGGTTATATTCACATCGGGACCATTACAGGTAAAATCCTATGTGATCTGGAAGCTCAGGAGACATTTGTCTACACCTTCTCACCTAGGGCTCCTGTTCCTTGCCATGTGTCCTCAGGAGAGGTGGCAGGCTCAGGATTGTTCCATGTGTATGGACATGGATACGCCTTGGTTCAGATCCAGCTTGAACAGTGTTAGATACTTTCTATGATGTATTTGGCTTTAAAGGGCAGAAACCCAACTCAAAAATCAGGTCAGCAAAGCTGGATGGTATGATGCTTGCTTGCATTCCCAGCACTTGGGAAAGGGAGGTAGGAGCATCGGAAGTTCAAGGCCAGGCCAGGCTACAATGAGACCCTTATCTCAAAATGAAACACAAAAGCAGGCTGGTGAGACTACTCACATACTAAAGAAATTAATAAAGGTCAAGGCCAGTAAGATGGCTAAGTAGGTAAAGGCCCTTTTGCTACTCGGCCTGAGGACTTGAATTCAGTCCCTGGGACTCACATGATGGGAGAAAAGAACCAATACCACAAGCTGTCCCTCTGAGCCCCTCATATGTGCATAGCATGTAGGAATTTGAGGCCATCCTGGTCTACATAGGGAGTTCCAGTCTAGCTAGGGCTACACAGTGAGACCCATTCTCGAAAAGCAGAGAGAGGGATAGGAGAGACAGCTGAGCAGCCAAGAGTACTTCAGAGCACTCACATGGCAGCTCATAAGCACATTCCGGGGGATCTGAGGCTCTCTCTTGGTCTCCTCCAGCACCAGGCACTCAGGTGGTACACATACATATAGGCATGCAAAACACTCACACACAGAACAGAAATGAATCATGAAATAAAAAGTTATCGGCATGCTCACAGGCATTGTTAAGCAGGAATCTGACCCAAATTGTGCTTCTTCATCATTCTACACTTTCATTTCATTTCTTTTGTTTATTTGTTTTTTGAGACAGGATCTCAGTATGTAACTTGCTGTCTTGAAACTCACTGTGTAGACCAATCGGGCTTCAAACTCACGAAGACCCTCCTGTCTGCCCCTCGGGTTAAAGGCTTATACCAGGGCTTGTCCTCTTTTAGTTCCCCATCAGGCATCTGCCAGGCCCGATTGGAAAGACGCATTTGTTTGTTTTTTATGGTTTTTGTTCGTTTGTTTGCCAAAGTGCCGATAAAGTCCCTATTATTGCATCCCATAATGACTAAATATAACACAGACTCCACAGACTGCTCCATGCGACCCTAGCTCTGTGGCTTTGGAGACATAACATGACTTCACTGATCTCACTTTTCCACCTGTAAAATGGGACCAGATGACAATACTATAATAGTCTATTTCTTTGGCTTGATATAAAGATTAAATAAATGCACTGGACACGGTGGTGTGCCCATGCAGTCACAACACTTGGAAGGCTAAGGCAGAAGGACCAAGAGTTGGAAGCCATGTGAACTAAAAAAGATAAAACCAGGGCCAGAGTTTGGCTCAGCATTAGAGAACTTGTACAGAATCTACCAGTGAGTGAATGCTGATATCACCAGTGTGTACCACCACACCTTGCTTCGTTAATTCTAACTCCCAGCCACAGCATGCACTCTGATTGGCTTCTGTTGGTCACATCACCAGATCTAAGAACATTTCTGAGATCCTAGGCCAAGTGTAGAGATGAGAAAGATGGAAGGCAGGCCTAACCCCTAGAATCCCTGGGCTAAGAGGTTCAAGGTGTGGGGACCCCATGGGGTGCTGGTTGGGTGAGATAACCCTACAGGTGGTGGTGGGCTAAAAAGGACCTGAGCATGGGACCTGATTTGATCCACAGATGGTCGTGTGTCCTTCAAGATGATGCCAGAAAGCTGGTCAATATGTGATAAGTTACCGGGTACTCATTTTTGGGGGGATTGGGGTAGAGGGTGGAGGCCACTGAGAAGGGTGAGAGGGTTATGAGGAAGAAGTCAGGGTCTAGATTGCTCTAGATTCTGCTCTCCCCAACAGGTTCAAACTGCTCCATTAACTGGGCTACATACATCGCTGACGAGAAGAACCTGTTGTTGTTGGTAGAGACCCTCTCCGTGAAATTAGTTAAGATCTTTTACCTGCTCAACTTTAACTTAGGTAATCAGGTTACCTGGAGTCAGGAGGGAATGTGCAGGAGCCTGGACTGTGCACCATATGTCCACCCCAAACACTCCACTCTCAGCTCTTAGAGTGAGCTGGGGAAGCCAGTGTGTCTGGGAGACAGAGGACAAGTGGGGAGACTGAAGAGGAGAAGAGAAGCCGGATCTGGAAGGCCCTGCACACACACACACACACACACACACACACACACACACACACACACACACAACATGTAATAAATCAAGGAAGGTATTCTGTCTGTCCTAAATGGAAAGCAGTAGAGTCTTTAAGATGGGTGGGATTTGTGGGTTTTGTTTGTTTGTTTGTTTGAAACAAGGTCTCATCATGTAGTCCTAACTGTCCTGGAACTCAGCCATATAGAGCAAGCCCAGTTGCCAACAGAGTCTCATGTGAAGGTTGGAGAGTGGGTAGCTTTGCCGTGCTTCCAGACATTGAGAGTTCTTCAGCTCTCAGGGTGTTGTTTTCCTACCTTTAGAGTCGCAGCGACTGGATATCCTCTACGTAATACCACAGTTTATTCCAGAAGGTAGGACCAGAGCGCGAGGGTAGTTTCCAGGTGGGCAGTGGCTGGGAAGAGCCCAGGTGACCGACCATTACTCCTCTCCACTACATCCTTTCCTCTTCTGCTATGGTCAGCTCAGGATTTGGACTTCCTGGTGCTACATGGGACAGAGACCTATACCAGAACTGCCATGATACCCAAAGGCTTGTTCTTCAACACATTCAACAATATGCTGTACATTTGGGGCAACTTCATCCTGCAAAGGTAGGCATAAGCCATCTCCCCAGTGACCCAGACACATGCGTGCGCGCACGCGCGCACACACACACACACACACACACACACACACAGACACACACACACAGACACACACACACGCATATATTTATATAAATAATTTTTGTTTGTTTTTTGAGACAGGTATCACTATGTAGCCCTCACTGTCCTGGAACTCACTATGTAGACTAGGCTGGCCTTGAACTCAGAGATCCATCTGCCTCTGCCTCTGCCTCTGCCCAATGCTTGAGATTAAAGGCATATGCCATAATGCCCAGTAAAGTTTTATTTTACTTTGATTATGGTACCCATGTGTGTCTGTGTGGTGGTGTACACAGAAGTGCAGGTATCTATGGAGGGAGGGCATTAGAAACCCTGGAGCTGGAGCCGTACGGTGCTTGGAACCTACCTGTAAGAGCAGCAAATGCCCTTACCCTCTAAGCCACCCTTCCAGGGCCTTCAGCAGGCTTTTGTTGCTATTCCAATTAGGGTCTTGCTCATGTTAGGCAAGTAGTCCCCTGGGAAGCCACAACCCAGCCCCCCACTGGTGACAAACGAGCACTGTCTGATGAGTCACCCCAGCCCAGCTTGAGGAGCCTTGTGTAAAATGAAACTTTCTGGACTGAACACATGTGAGCAATAGGAAGCATTTCCCGGGACACTTCAGAACTCTTCCCACTCATCTATCCTCTTATTCTTCATGATCCCAGGGGCCTGATGCCATCTTTATGGACAGTTGGCATGATCCATTTGGTTTTAAAAGAAAGAAACCTAATTCAAAAACCAGTTAAGCACAAAGACTTTATTGACTTACATTTAGAAATATCAAGCTCCAGCTTCAGGCATGTCTGGATCCAGGGCATTGCCATTGGGACTTCATTTGTAGGCAAGATGGTGCTTTTACTGGAATCCTAGGCCAGAGGGCTGAGTCCTGGGGTCCCAAAAACATCAGAAAAGGGGAGATAGGGATCCAGGGCACAAGGACACTCCAAGGAGTGGTAGAAACTGAAGCTTGGGTTACAGGGCCCCTCTGCTGTTGTTTACAGTGCCGGCAGACAGACAGTGAGTCCCATGCTGTAGTGTGGTTGCAATGGGAGAAGCAGATGTCTAAGGGTACCGGCTGTCCTCATCCTCTGAGCCCCCTCTCTCCTCTACAGCTACAATAGGGTACACTTCATTTTTCTGGCGGACTTCCCCAAGGACTCCATTATCAAATACATGGTCAACTCTTACCAAGGAGACATGGCTTTTGTCACCGAAAGAGAAGAGGTGAGCTACGCTGTTCTTCTCCCCAAGCCCCCCTTGTTCATCCCCCAATCCCTCCTGCCCTGTTAGGGTGAACACCCTTAAGGGATCCCAAAATAATGTCAGTAGAAGCCCTATCCGTAACATGTTGGGCCCTGGAACTCAGAGAGGGTAGGAGACTTTTCCAAAGCCTGTCACACAGCACAGTGGGATAGTAGGAAGGGTTGAAGTTTTTACCATAGCCCCATATATAATGCCTGCTGGATCCACAGATCTGGTACTTTCTGGAAGGTGGCTACGATGTATACCGGCTAGTCCCATCCAAAGGCTGGGACATCTACTTCAGCCTGCAGAAGCTGCAACACTCTTCTCTCTTTGCGGACCAAGAGTTCTTGGTCACCCTCTTCTATGAAGATGGGCAGCTCTATCAGGTGCCATGAAGGCTTGGTAGGGTGGAGATGGGGAGCAGGTTGGGACTACAAGGAGGTTCCTACCCGCTTACCTGCCTGCTTCTGGTCCCAGCTGATATATCTTGTTGACTCCGGGTATGAACGTTTGGTCAAGAGGGTCTTGCCTGTGGCACAGTTGCTGCTGTATGACCAGAACACCCCCTACTCACTGGTGGACACAGGGTGAGATAATGGGGACCATGAAGAAGTCTGAGAACTCCCAGCCCAGGGGTGGGACCAAGAGCGACCCTAGGGATAAGCTGGTGATGGGTATGCTCAGCATCGAACAGAGCTCAGAGGAACAGTGTGGTACAGCTGGAGGGCTTGGGCCATCAGGGAGGAGGGGAGGAGGGGTTAGTGAGGAGGAAGTGGGAGTGTTAGTGAGAGGGCGGGGAGGAAGTGGGAAAGGGTGTCTAGACAAGGGAGCCTTATAAAGGCCCTACGGAGGAACAGTGACCAGCTGTTCAGTGACTGACAGACCCCAGCAATGGCCCACACCTGCAGTCTTAGCACTTGTGAGGTTAAGGCAGAAGAATTTGCAATTCAGCGCTAGCCTGGTCTACATAGTGAGACTGTGTGGGGGAAGAAAAACTTCTGGACATCTGCAGAGGGTGGAGCCAGAAAAGCAGCTGGAGGTGGGGGCAGAAGCAAGGCAAGGGACCTGGCTGGGATGGGGGGAGAAGACATCCATTGGAGAGCAAGTGGGAGGAGATGTGGAGGGATGTCTGAGGGACAGCCACCAGAGTGTGTCCAAAGACTGCTGAGCGTGAGGGGCTGAGCTGAGTTTGGTATAAGCCAGGGTAAATTTGGGGAATCAGCAACTCAGAAGTGGTGAATGTAGGTCTGGGGACGTTCCTGATACTCCACAGGAGTCAGCATCTCTCTCCCCTTGCATGTTCATCGCCCACTGCTGCCCAGGAACTTCTGGACGCCCTCCTTCACCAACCTCTGCCCTTTCAAGGTGATGCGTCTACGTGACCTACCCAAAAAACAGCATCTTGCACGTCAAGAGCTCTACCATGCTCCACCTCCTCTGGTCTCCGAATCCCTGGGCTTCCACAATAATAAGACACTTGCTGTCTATCAAGGCCTTGTCTATTACCTGCTGTGGCTGCACTCCAAATATGACAAGGTGGGCACCTGGGGGCACTGGAGAGGGACCTGTTCTGTAGGGGTGAGCTTGAGGGGGTAGTGCAGCCAGAGTGGAGCCTGAAGTTCAAAGATGTGGGGAGGGTGAAGGGGCAGGAGGCAGCAGGTTTGAGCTGGACTTGAGAGTGGTTCTTAGGGGTGAGACCCTTGGATTAAAAGCCAGGAAGCCAAGTTTAGGTTACAGTTGCTGGCTCATGCCTGTAATCCCAGCACTTGGGAGGTGGAGGCAGGAAGATCAGGAGTTCAAGACTAGCCTTGGCTTCATGAGATCCTGCCATAAAAAAGGGCGTGTGCGTGTGTTTCGGGGCGGGCACCTGGTGTGATGGTGCAGCCTTTATGTCTTTACCCCAGCACTCTAGAGGCAGACAGAACTCTTGAGTCTGTGGCCAGCCTTGGGCTACATAGTGAGTTTCAGGACAGCCAGGGCTATATAGTGCGACCTTGTATCAATAAAAAACAACCAAACAAAACAAAAAACAAAACAAATCCAGGGCTGGGGAGAGATGCACATAACATGAGGACTTAGTATAAATCGAAGTACCCACAGAAAAAGCTGTGTTTGAGGGCTGGGCCTGTAATCCCAGCTCTGGGAGGTGGAGACAGGTTTGATCAGTGAGACTCACCGGCCAGCCAGTCTAGGCCCGTCAGGCCAGGTTTCAGTGAGAACTCCGTGGGTGACTTCTTTGGAAACACAAGCAAGGTTTCTGGCTTCCACAGGCTCACACAGACACAGGAAGCCGGTTTTGGGGGCGGGCTGGGGTGTGTATCTCCTACTTTGGGCTATGAACTGAACCCAATCCTAGAGCTGTCTGCCTCCTCCCTGCCACCTCACCGTGTCTGACCGTCCCACAGCCCTACGCGGACCCCGTGCACGATCCCACTTGGCGCTGGTGGGAACACAAATCACGGTACAAGGTAGGTGGACAGGTTGGGAGTTGGTGGAGGGCAGCACTGAGACGCTCCGTCCAGTCCAGCATCCACTGACTGACCACCCCGGTGCATCCAGGATTACTACTTCTACCTCTCCAGCAACTGGCTGGCGGCGGAAGGCGTGTACATCGACATGAGCAGCTACCAGAAGCTCTACAACATCTCGCACGACCACGGGCTGCCCGAGATGGTCTTCCTGGACAAGGGCACCTCATTTAGCTTCACCGTCTTCCTGACGGCGCATGAGGACACCTTCAAGCTCAGTGCCAGCTCCGGTCTGTGGGCGGGTCCTGATTGGCAACCGAGGGGCGGGTCCTGGATCCTCCGGGGGTGGATCCCAGGCATCAAGCCCCTCCCTCCCCCGTGCTAGGCTCCAGCTACCAGGTGGAGAAGAAGTTAGCAGTGGCTGTGGTTGTTGCGGATCCCGAATGCCTTGACGTAACTGTGAAGCAGGATGTCCTTCTTAATCGCAAAGCAGTGCTCTACAAGGTGAGAGGGCCAGAGAGGAGCTACAGGGCCTTGGCCGGTGTCCCTCCGGTCCTCTGCACAGTCAGTGGAAAGCCACAGCTCTTATTAGCCCCTCTGAGCTCCAGTTATCAGGTCTTTGAATGTCTCTGGATCCTAGGACAGATTTGGATATCCCCTTATTTTAGTCTCCTTCCTCTACTTCAGATTACGATCAAGGACAAAAAAGTCTGCTATGACCAGGGCATCAGTGGACATAACCTCAAGAAGACTTCCTTGATGGTCAAAGTATGGTCCAAGCTCGAGCGGGAGGGTGTGGGGAGAGAACACTGGCCCTTGGGTTCCTAACATCGCCTACTCCTACCCACAGGTGTTGGGATCTTCTGGAAAATGCTTCCAGACCACATACCTTGGGACAAGCACGCAAGTACTAGAACTTGGGTACTGGGTGTGGCATTGAGAGTAGAGGGTTGGGTTGAGTTGCCACAGGGTTGGTTCCCGTTGCTGTCCTGGGAACACCACACATGCATTCATGTTTTTAATTTATGTGTTGGGTATTTTGCCTGCATGTAGGACTGTTCACCATGTGTGTGCGCCTGGTGCCTGCAGAGCCAGAAGCATCTGATCCCCTGGAACTGAAGTCACAAATGGTTGTGAGCTGTCCCGTGGGTGCTGGGAATGGAACCCAGGTCCTCTGCAATTGCAATTGCAGCCAGTACTCTTAACCTCTGAGCCACGTCTCCAGTCCCTGCATTCAGATTTCCCCTTTCTCATTGTGATCCTCATTCGTGCCCCCACCCCTCAGGAAGGGTTTCTGAAATGGCTGCCTTCACAGCTCTGTAGGCTGCACACATGCCTGTGTGCTTTTACAATTGTATTTCATCACAAGGAAATGTCATTGGCTTCTTTGCCCAACTGACACACGTGTAGCGCATAGAGAGCATGGCCACAACCCTTTCACACACTGCTCCCCACTGCTCCCCTCCGTGCCCCATTTCCAGTACCAGAGATTGAACTCAGGCCTTTGAGGGTGGTGGGCAGGCACTCTACCACTGAGATACCCCCCCCCAACCCTCACACATGGTTTTACATTTTCTCTCTCAAATGTTCTTCGTTCTCACCTTTTGTTTTATGATTCTTCTCTTGCTTACACATGTGCTATCCCCTTTGCATCCAGTTAGCCACTGAGGCCTGGAGAGGCCCTAGAGTCCTTGTTCTCCACAACTTTCCTGTCCACCCACCAGCAAACTTACTCGGTGCTCCTCTTTGCTGGTTTGGAGTGCCGCAGGCAGTGGGAAATGGGTGTGATAGGCGGAGATCCTCGGAGGACAGGATGAGTAAGAGGGAAGGGGAGAGGCTGAGATGTTCACATCTGGCTGTGTGCTGGGAAGAGATGTGTGTGTGTGTGTGTGTGTGTGTGTGTGTGTGTGTGTGTGTCTTCCAGAATGGTAAGGGAGAAGGGAAGAAAGTTGAGGTTTAGGGGAGAAAATAGATAGGTTTTAGGTATGGTCTTCCTTTTTCCTTCCTTCCTTCCTTCCTTCCTTCCTTCCTTCCTTCCTTCCTTCCTTCTTTTCTTCCTTTCTTCCTTCCTTCCTTTTGAGACAGGGTCTCACTTTGCCACGTGGACTGGCTTCAAACCATATTGACCCTCCTGATTCAGCCCCCTTAGCCGGATTCCTTTTTGTGTTGCTAGAGAAGGAATGCAGAGACACACACATGCTAATCATGATTGTACGATGAGCTGTGTGCCAGCCTTCTGGGTCTGTTTTGAAGGGTTGAAATAGGAAGCTAGGCAGGCATGGCTGCCACCATGCCTGTATCCCAGCACTGAGGAGGCAGAAGCTGAGCCATATTCCTCAAGCATCTCACTGTGAATCCTAGGCCAGTGTTCTATAGGGTCAAGCTACATTCATAGCCTAGGGCCAAAATTTTTCCACATGAACATCTGGGAGACATGGAAGTCCATTAACTAAGATGAGTTCTGTATAGACTGAATTTTAGATGTCCACCAGCCTTGTGAGTGCTGGATTATTCATCCAAAGTGACTGGCCTGGCTCGGGAGATGCTTACTCTACACCCACCAAGCTCAGGCCACAATCTCTGGATGTCATGACCTAGCCCCAAATGGGCCTAGAGAGTGTCTTCATTCTGAAGACAATGTCATGAGGGCTCCCCGACCCATGGCACTCATTCTGGGCTCTACTTCCCTCCGGTATCACGTACTCCTTTTGGTGGCTTGTAGTCCAAACTCAGACCTGTGGGCTGTGAGTAGAAGTTGGTGTGCAGGTGCAGGCACCAGTGGCCTCGCGTAGCCTTGCTCGCAGTCTGTGGCTCCTGTCCCTCTGCTTCAGTCCCTTACCACTGTGCAGCTCTGTCGAATGAATGAGTAACTTGGCCTTTCCATGTCTAGTTTCCCGTTTATTTGTTTTTGAGACAGTCTCAAATAGCCCAGGCTTTCTAGGAACTTGCCATGTAGCTCAGGATGACCTTGAGTTCCTGATCCTCCTTGCATCCCCTCCAAAGTACTGAGATTACCGTGCAAACCACCACAAGTCTCCCCCCGCAACACACACACAGGGTCTCAGTCTGTAACACAGGCTGGTCTGAACTCACTGTGTGGCCCAGACTAACCTTGAACTCACAGCTGTTCTCCGGCATTGGTCTCTCAAATGCTGGGATTAGAGCCTGAGCCACCACAGCCGGCTGCCCCTCACTTTTGTCATCTGTTTTTGTTGTTGCTGTTGTTTGAGACAGGGTCTTGCTATATATAACCCCGGGATTTGACCTCAAATCCCAGATCTTCCTGCCTCAACCTCCTAGGTGCTGGGACATCAGGTATGTGCCATCACACATGGCTTGCCGTCTCTAAAATGGGGGATTTTGCCTAGCATGATGTTACACACCTTTAATCTCAGTGCTCTGGAAACAGAGACAGATGGATTTTTGTGAGTTCAAGGCCAGCCTGGTCTACAAAAGTGAGGTCCAGAATAGCCAGGGCTACACAGAGAGATCCTGTCTCAAATAAACAAACAATAATAAATAATAACAAAATGAGGCATATTAATAGCCTGTACCATATAGGGCTCATACAGCTCACACAGGCTTAAGAAAATATGTTAAGCTCTTAGAACATCACCCAATGCCTTGTACACAGGAATTGCTACACAGGCCTTGGCATTTATCAGAAATACTGTTTTAGCTGGGTGTGGTGGGACGTGACTGATTCCTGGGGAGGTGGAGGATGGAGAGTTCAAGGACAGCCTGGGCTCTAGAAGATTCTATCTCAAAAACCAAGGAAACTGGGCCTGGTGGCCCACACCTTTAATCCTCCCAGCTCTTGGGAGGCAGAGGCAGGAGGATTTCTGTGAGTTCAAGACCAGCCTGGTCAATGTCATAATTTCCAGACTGGCCAGGGCTTCACAAGGAGTCCATGTCTCAAGCAACAAGAAAGAACATGAAGTTGAGGGGAGCAGGGAAGTGTGGTTGGATCTGGAAGGAGTTAAGGGGAGTGAATATAATCAAAATATATTTTACGAAATTCTAAAATTTAATAAAATATTAAAAACACTAACAACAAACAAGGGCTGGAAATGTAGCTCAGTGGTAGTGTGCTTGCTTAGCACTCCAGGAAGGCCCTGGTTCCAACCTTAGCACTGCGAAGAAAAAGCAGGCAGGGCAGCAGGGATGTGTCCCGACAGGTTGCCATGTGGCCAGCTGTGCTGGTGAGGGGGCTGGTAGTCTAGTGTGTGACAGAGAGGAGGTTTTCTCTCTGCTCCTTCATGGCAACCCGGCAATCCCCCAGCAGCAGGCCTTTTTTCCTACCCAGGGTCACTTGATGGTGCCATTGTTAATCGGCTGTCCCCCTGGCAAGCGCCTGGCCTTCGACGTCACCTACACGATTCTGCACTCCCAGCAGCTAAACAAACACTATTTCGACTGTGTGGTGTCCAACCCCGAGATGCCGTGCTTCCTCTTTCGTGACTGTGTGTCCCATCCCTCCTCCCAAGTTCACTGCCCTCCTGGCCGGCCGTTTTCCCTTCCCTCCCATGTTCCCTTTACCTCAGCCCATCACCTGCTCGAACCCTGAGTCCCTCCACTTTCCTCCTGCTCCTCTCTGGACAAAACTAATTTCTTCCTCCCCTCCTCTCCTTCACAATCCACAGTGTTTCAGCCCTTCTTCTTAGTCCAAGACATGGTGACGGGAGACTCTGGCCGTTTCCTAGGCAGGTAAGGAAAGACTAGCTGGAGGCTGACCGTACTTGACCAGTGGAGAGGGGAAATGCACGGTTCAAGACCACAGGGGTCCATATTTGCCACTGCATTCTGCAGTTACTTGCTGAAGGTGGTGGGCGGAGGTCCCACAATGGACACCATCCGAGACTACACAGAAGAGGAGATCTACCGCTTCAACAGTCCGCTGGACAAGTAATCCCTCGGGGCCCTGTCCACAGTGGGGGGTCTGGCCGGCGGGGCTCCTCTCCCACTTCCGGTTAAGCAGGGGACTCTTACTGCAAACCTCACCCACCCAGTGCCCCAGACCCCCCTGCAGTGAGGCCTAGGCTCCCGCACCGCCCACCAGGACCACGCCCTTGGGTGCTGATGACTGTTGCGCTCAGCCCACCCTGACATTGTTCGGGTCTGCACAGAACCAATAGCCTCATCTGGAAAACGAAGGCTGAAAGGACCACTCAGGACAAGAAGTTCTACATAATGTCGGAGCAGAGCCCGGGGATCGAGTGAGTACAGTCCCGTGAGCTCTCTGCCCTCCAGGTTTGTTGTTTGTTTTTGTTTGGATGCTCAGGTCTCACGTCTGCCAGGCTGGCCTTGAGTTTGCTACATACCCGAGGATGCCCTTGTTCTTCTCCTTCTCCCCAGCTCTGGGATTACAGGTGTGCGCCACCACACCGGGATGCTAGGCTCGGTGCCTCCGGGATGCTAGGCTCGGTGCTGCCGGGTAGCTTTCTACTGACTGAGCTACATCCCCAGCACCCCCTAGCCTGTTGGTTTTACTTTGTTTTGTTTTACAGAGTCTCACTAGGTAGCTCTGCCTCATTTCAAAATTATGATTGTCCTTCTCTGCTTTCTGAAATTCGGGGGTTACAGACGCGTTCTTGGCACAAGTCTCCCGCATCCCTCTGGCCCATTGTGGCCTCTGAGAAGCTTCCAATAGTCAGTCACATTAATTGTCTTTGTGTTTCCCAAGGAGGGCTAGCCTTTGTATAGAGAGGCTCTCCTGGAAGTCTGGGGCCTCCTACTCTGTCTTCAGGCCTTGGCTCACATGCTCCTTCCTTTAGGAGGGCTTAACCATGCTCTTTATTTCCAGATGGGCAGCTGGCTCCTCTGGACTCCCACATGCCTTTCCCACTCTGAGCCTTTGCCTGTACCTCCCTTCACTTCCCTGACCCTCTGCCTGTACCTCCCCCCCTTCCCTGACCCTCTGCCTGCATCTTCCCCTTTCCCTGACCCTCTGCCTGCACCTCTCCCCTTCCCTGACCCTCTGTCTGCACCTCACCCCTTCCCTGACCCTCTGCCTGCACCTCCCCCCCTTCCCTGACCCTCTGCCTGCATATCTCCTTACATTTTGGTCCTCACCATTCTAAGCTGTCACAGTCTCCTGAAGGACCGGTCTCTCTCCTCTATAGCACAGCTCTTAAATAGACACAATACAACCTTTTTTTTTAGTGAAGAATGAACAGATTAATGCATAGTCAGCATTCATTGACAGTTAAATGGAGATGTTAATGAATGAAGTTCATTAGTATGAATGAGTTCATTAGTATGTAAGGGCTCGATAACCGTTTTTGATTCAATGAAAGGAAAACCATGATACCACAAGGCAGCAAATGAACAAGTTAGCCAACAAGTCCGTGTTTAGTTCAGGTTTATTGAACAAAAATCAAGAGGGAATAAGTGAGAAAAGATGTGAGTTTGTGCCTAGCTTGTGTTCAGACTGTGCTTGTGGGATGAGGGTGGCACCCAGTGGGTGCTTAGCCCAGCATGTGGGTGGATTGGCAGGTGGAGGCAGGGAGGCAGCGGGCAGTGAGTGAACAGCCTGCTCCAGGGCAGGTGCTCAGACAGCACCACTGTTCCAGTGGATTGAGTAGGCAAGAGAAGGCAGAGACCATAGACTGGGGGTGCGGCTCAGTGCGAGAACGCTGGCCTAGCATTCACCAGTGAAGGCCTGGGGTGGCGGCAGCTGGGGAGAACACTTGCCTGGAGTGCACTATTGAAGGCCGAGGGTGGGGCTTGGCTCACAGTTCGAGAGCTCACCTCGCTTGCATGAGTTCAGTCTGAAACACCTTAGTTACAAAAGGGACAAAGAGCCCAGGGAAGATGGATTGTACTTAGCTGGCACTTCCTGGAGTGTAAGTGGTGCAGCTGCCTAAACTTGGACTCCTAGGTGGCTGTGTCTAGAGAACTCCCCATGCCATGATATCACTCCCCGAAGCATCTTTGCCCCTGAATTCTTCCTCAAGTTGTTGGTGAGCAATAGGTAAGCCAGGCATGTAGCCTCTGGGAGGGGGAGGGCGGGGGGAGGTTTGAGATTGTTCCATGGGAAGATGCCCCACTACTTAACCCAATCCGGACTCCGTTCCCTCATCAGAGGAGTAGACACTAGCTCGTACTGTGACTACCAGCTCATCTTTATACTGCATTTGCATGGGCTTCCACTCAGCGCCCAGCGGTCTCTCTTCATTGTCCTTGTGAGTGGCAGTCAAAGGCTTCCCTACTGGGTGGACAGGGGTTCACCCAACTCGGTGTACCCATGACTACTCTCCTGTGCTTGCAGGTGTCCACCAGCCTGTTTGTGGGCCTGGTGGTCTTCTACATCCTGTTCTGTCTCCTGTGGCCCCACATAGTGAAGGCCTGGGTCTCATTACGCTGGAAGATTAACAACATCATGGCAGCAGAGTCCTTCTACACATATGCCACCTCCAGTGCGGCCCTCAGCCTCCAGTCTCAGTCTGTCTCAGAGCCAAGTTTCAAGGCTCCCTCCAATGCAGGTTCCAAAGTGGATAATGCATCAGAGAAGGAAGTGGTGGCCTGAGTCTCTCCTCTGTACCCTTCCTTATACACCCTTAGGCCTCTCCTAGTGGGAATGCAGCCTGCCACCTACCCAGGATTTTCTGGTTTGCTAGAATGTTCATGTCTCGTTCAGACCCAAATAAAAGCCTCAATTTCAGAATCAGCCCTGAGTCTTCAGGAGGGTTCATGTGTTGCGTGGCTTGTACCAGTACAGCTGTAGTTACCATTAAAAGACCGGAATCTGCGTCTCCAAGATGGCACAGACTTGGGAGCTTACTGCCAAGCCTGACGGCCTGGATTTGGTCTCAGGACTCATGGTGGAAAGAGAGGACTGAGGCCTTGAAGCTGTCCTCTGACTTCAACATGCATGGGCTGTGAACATACACAAAAAAGGAGTGTGACACGAGTGCGCGCGCACACACACACTCACATTAACAATGTCTGAAGTTAACCCAGGTGTGCATCTTTGGTCCCAGCAGAGGAAGGAGGCAGAGGCTGGTGGAACTCTGAGTCTGAGGCCAGCTTGGTCTACATAGCAAGTTCCAGGCTAGCCAGATCTACATGGACCCTGTCTCAAACAAAACAAAACAAAAACCCATCAGAACAAACGACAAGGCAATGCTGGCTAGTGTGGTGCCTCAAACTGTCATCTCCTCTTAGGAGCCTGAGGGAACAGAAATATTCTGAATTTGAGGCCAGTCTGGGTCACTCAGTTACTTCCAGGCTGGCTTAGACTACAAAAGAAAGAGCCTTTAAACTATAAATGATTTAAAAAGTCAAGCATGTTCCCGGTACTGGTGCTGGGAAGCAATTGTAAAGCTTCAAATTCCACTCTGATTTTGCTGAGAAGCTGACCTCCAACTCACAGAGATCCTCCTGGCTCTGCATCCGGAGTGAGTGCTGGGATTAAAGGCGCGCGCCACTGCCGCCTGGCAATTTGTGAGGCTTTTGTCGTTGATTTCTTTTCACTCCACTCGTTTATTTATGTGTGTTGGTGGGGGCACACATGCCACAGTATACACGTGGGGGTCAGAGAACAACTCAGTCATAGCTTTTCTCCTACCATGTGAGTTCCAAAATTCCAACTCAAGCTGTCATGTTTGGTGGCAAGCACATTTAACCACATGATCCCAATACTCCCACCCCTTTCTTTTTTTTTTCCTTCTTCCCTCCCTCCCTCCCTCTCCTTCCTTCTTTCCTTCTTTTCTTCCTCCCTCCCTCCATCCCTCCTTCTGTCTCTGTCTCTGTCTCTCTCCCTCTCAGGTCTCTGTGCAGCAGAGCCAACCAGCACTCACTGAGGAGACCAAGCTGCCCTCAGACTTGGGGTGCTTCTCTTGTCTCTGCTCCATGAATGCAGACTTCCTAACATGCACCACTCAGCCTGGCTTTTGTTATTTTCTCCAACCTCCCTCTCTCTCTGTCTCTGTCTCTGTCTCTCTGTCTCTCTCTCTCTCTCTTGTAAAAAAGGATTTTTTTATGTGTATGTGTGAGTGCTTGCAAGTATACACATGTAGCAAGAATCCTAATAACAAAAACCTGGAGTCAGATATCAGGGTGAAAGCTGAAAGATCAGAGAAGCAGAGCAGCCAGCCACTAGTTCTGACCTCTATGAAATCATCAGTCTGAAAGGAGACTGAGCTCTTGTCTCCTCCCACCTTATAATCCTCTCTCTGCCCAGTCTTATCACTTTCTGTCTCCACTTCCCTAGTGCTGGGATTAAAGGTGTGTGCCACCACTGCCTGACTCTGTTTCTCTTTTAGACTGTATCAATCTTGTGTAGCCCAGGTTGGCCTTGAACTCACAGAGCTCTGCCTCTGCCTCCCAAGTGCTGAGATTAAAGGTATGTGCCACCACTGCCTGGCCTCTATGGCTAACTAATGGCTTAACTCCGCACTCTGGTCTTCAGGCAAGCTTTAGTTGTTAGATCAGAAACAAAATATCACCATATATAATACATGCATTATGGCCTGGTGCCAATGGAGACAAAAAAAAAAAGGTATGGGATCCTTTGCAACTGGAATTACAAGTGGTTGTGAGCTGACGTGGGAGCTGGAAATAAAAAACAGGGTCCTCTACTAGAGCAACACGTGGTCTTAGTGGCTGATCCATATCTCCAGTCCCTCCACGGCTTGCTTGCCCCCCCCCCCCCCTTCTCTCAGCGTGGCCTTGAACTGGTTATGTAACCGAAGAATGACTTTGAAACCCTGATCCTTCGCCCTCCATCTCCCAGCTTTCTGAGATCACAGGCTTCCCTCCCCTGACACTCTTCAGTGTCCACAGAAATCTGGTTCCGTTTCTCTGTAGTTTCCCCTCTGAATGTGGACTCTGACCTCAGGACTTCCATCCTCACCCTCTGCGGCTGTGATTTGCATGCCATATTGTCCAGAGAACGAAGGGATGAGGATTCTGCAAATCCAGCCGAAAGTCATTTTGTCCCTCTGGTTATATGGAGTCGGATCTCAAGGTTACCACTGTACTAATTACAGGGCAGTGCACAGGTAGGAGCCCCAGTTTCAAGTTTAAGTCAGTCATATCCCATTCCTGATGCCGAGGTGGCCAATCTCGACCTAATGCTTTACTCGTGTGGGCAATGGCAGTTCTGAAGAAATTGGCTGTCTGAAAGGGCAAAAGGATCAACAGAAAGCAATGTGATGGTCAGGCCTGTAATCCCAGCACTGCTCAGGGTGGGAGGCAGAGACAAGGGTCTGGCCTATAATCCCAGCACTGCTCAGGGTGGGAGGCAAAGACAAGGGTCTGGCCTATAATCCCAGCACTGCTCAGGGTGGGAGGCAGAGACAAGGGTCAGGCCCCTACCCTGAGAATAATACAGGGCTCTTTTGGGAGGGTTTCAGAATTCGGGGTGGGTGGGTATTTATGTACCAATGGAGGAAGTGGGTGTTGGGATAAAAATTGGAAAATTCCAGCTGGTGAGATGCTCTGCAGGTAAAGGTACTTGCCACCAAGCCTGACAGCTTGGGTTTGATCCCCAGCACCTGCATGACAGAAAGAGAGAACCATCTCTCTGACTTTGTCCAGTGATACTAGTACTGTGGCAAGCTCGTTCTCCAAAACAAATTAGGAATTTTTTTTTTTTCAAGACAGGGTTTCTCTGTGTAGCTTTGGAGCCTGTCCTGGACTAGCTCTGTAGACCAGGCTGGCCTCGAACTCACAGAGATCCACCTGGCTCTGCCTCCCGAGTGCTGGAATTAAAGCCGCCTGGCTGGTTTTTCTTTTCTTTTCTTTCTTTTTTTCTCTTTTCTTTTTCTTTCTTTCTTTCTTTTTTTTTTTTTAGGCCAAACAGCTTTATTTATCAACCAATCAGAGAAACACATATTCGCAGCATACAGAAAGACATTCCCCTATCACTTCCCCTTTTCTGTCTAAACAAAAGGAAGGTTTTAACTTTAACCTATTAAAATTATATGTAACGAAACAGTTATCAAGCAAGAATTACAGTTACAATATTTAGTCTATTTGTATTTTGTGAAATTAAATTTTTTATCTATCCTATATTTGTGAGTCTAAGATTTCATATGTAATTTATCTTTTATCATAACCAAGGAAAATTATGATTATAACTATCTAGTCTTCAACTACATCAAAGACCTCAGAAGGATACAATATTATTGTGACGGCATTGCTGCTGAGCTCCTGGCCTGGCTCCAGAGAGCAGCACCTAGCCCTGATCCTTTGCTTTGTTTAACCACACCTTTTGTTCCTCTTACCTTTTTTTTTTTTTTTGGTTTTTCGAGACAGGGTTTCTCTGTGTAGCTTTGCGCCTTTCCTGGAACTCACTTGGTAGCCCAGGCTGGCCTCGAACTCACAGAGATCCGCCTGGCTCTGCCTCCCGAGTGCTGGGATTAAAGGCGTGCGCCACCACCGCCCGGCCTCCTCTTACCTTTTGATTCTCTTATCGCACTATGTGAATCTTATTTGAGAGTCAAGGATCAGAGAGTCTTCCAAGGATCAAAGGCCTATGCAAAACTTGGTCCAGGAAACCCAGAAAACCGAGGTACCTGAGAAATCAAGTAATTTGCACCTGGCATTTGGTCTCTGGGAGCTCCTTTTGGGTTGCTTTGAAGGTAATTAACTATCTAAACTGTAAAAATAAATATGCCCTAGGTGAAGGGAAAAAGCTTCATTCCTTTGAGGCTGGACCCCCTGCAGCCATCAAGAGGCTAAAGACATTCTTAAGGTGCCACTGAGTCTTTATTCCACGGATCCGAGTGAATCCACATACCCCTGTCATGATGTACAGCTACAATTATCTAAGTAAACAGGAAGAGCATTGTAAGCAACTTCCAAAAATCTAGAATGACAAGAGACAGCTGCCTGCCTGGACAGTCATCCAAAGTTCCTCTGTAACATTGGGGCATCCATCCATCTTCGTCCCATAGGCCTAGAGTCTCTCAGTCACTTCTCTCTGTGTTCTGTAGAATGTCTGGCAATTTCTTCTGTGTAGCAGGAACCTGAGGGATCATTTCGCCTTGCAAAGTTCAATGGTCACCTTCCTGTAGGTCCTGCATGTCCAATTGATACAACATTTTGTCAAGAAGTCCAGGCAAGAACAGTTTCTTGCCCAAATGGCTATAAATTAGTGGTTTTTTTAAAAAAATCTCTGGAACAGCCAGGGCTACACAGAGAAACCCCGTCTCAAAAAACCTAAATAAATAAATAAATATTAAAAACAAACAAATGTGAATCCTCTGCTTCCTTTTGGCATTTGAAGCCATAGGCCTGGATGATCTTTGTAAACAGTTCATACATTTATGTTTAAATTATTTATGTATAAGTATGAATAAACATATGGAAGGCCTCTAGAAGTGTGAGGGAGCTACACCCATAAAGCCTCAAGGACATGACTGTCCAGAAAGACGTGATGAACAGGAGGGCATCAATGGACACGCTAACATGGAAGGGGAAAATCTGGCCCCACCCTAGACAACCACAGGCAACTAAGGGATGCTGAGGACAGCAATGGTTTTCCTCGGGGAAAGGCCCCTCCATTTGATATCCAATACCAAGTGGTCAGCCCTGAAATCATATTCATACAGGTAGCATTATATGGATCGAGCAGGCCGTATTTATCTATTTAGGAATATATAACAGAGAAAACAAGACTAAAGGCTGTGAATTTGGTGGAGATTTATATGGGAAGGGTTA